CTACCTTTATAGTGTGTTCCTGTGTGCGCCAGAGTAACTAACTCTTGGTTGTTATATTAGGACTCGCTCTTCTACTCTCTCGCACATTGTGCAAAAGTCCCACTGGGCACCCGGACTCCAGGGTGAAGGAAATTTGGTTATTGGTTGGGAATATCCCACATAGCAGATAGGTGCGCTCCTAGCGACGGCCTTGTAGTGCTTTGGGAGAAGAACCAATACCTTCAATACGCGGCCCCCAGCGTTAAGGGGAGTACTTAGCTCAGCAGTCGGTGTGGAACCACTGTTGATTAGAATTTACATACAAAACTTCTTCTTCAAATACCTCTGACCGGGCCGGGCACTTGCCTCCGCCAGTCTGGAGAAGGGTTGACAGCTTAATAAGTGGACCACCCCCTGACAACCGTTCGGACCAGGGTTTCATACAAATACTTTATATATACAATTTCAATTACTATAGTGTGGGTAGTCGGAGATTGAGATCCGATACTCAGCTGGGAAGAGGTTGATCCGCAGATAGCAAGCGGGTATTAAGAACAAAGCTTGAAGGAAGTGTCTAGCCACTTGCTGAGAGCAATCAGGGACTAGAACTAGAGTCCAATGTGAGTAACTGTATTATTAGAGAGTATGACAGGTATACAGTACCTAGAGTCCAATGTGAGTAACTAGAGAATAGGAAGCATTGGACTCTGCAGTACTGTCCGAAGTTTTGTAAACAAAGGTAAACAAAGCAGCCACAAAGGCGAAATAATAGAGAACACAATCAATAGTGAATGATAGAAGAATAGATAGAGAAAGGAATGAAAATATATAGGTAGCACAAAGGTGCAGAATCACCAAAACTAACAGCAGGGACCCCCAGTTACCTTTTTTTTACATTACCAAAGAGAACAAGTTAACATGTCATCGCAACCGGATATCAACAGTCTGCTGCACAACATGCATGCGCAGATTCAGGCGTTAACTATGCAATTCGCCGAGCTACAGGCAAACCCCCCTGCAGCAACCCCCTCGGTAGAGAAAAAGTTCAATAAGAAAGTCAAAGTTGTTGCTGACCCTGGCGCCTTCGAAGGAGACAGAGCACAATTTGCTGAATGGTGGATCAAACTCCAGATTTGGGTTAAGGCAAACTGGGATGCATTTGCTGATGACTTTGAGGTAGCCACTGCGGTGCTATCTCGACTAAAAGGACCTGTGGCGGGTCAATACACCCAAGTAAGACTTCAGGAGTGCTACACCGCGGGAGTGTGGCCCACCTGGGACAATCTCAAAGTAGAGATTAAAAAATATTTCAAGCCGCAAGCTGAGCGCAACTGGGCGCGTCAGCAAATCCATTCCTTCAAACAAGGCAACATGAGGACGGATGATTTCGTAACCCAGTTCCTGGCCCTCTCCATCCAAGGGGGTCTTGGTAATGAACATGCAGTGGAGCTGCTGGAACGCAATGTGAACCCCCACATTGCAGAACAGCTTTATCTGCAGGATATGAGAAATGAGAATCTCTCTGAAGCAGCAGAGGAGGTTTGGAAAATAGATAGGGCTATAGAGCTCTACAAAATGCACCAAGGTGGCGAGACCACCAAAAACAACCAATCCCAGAGGCGCCCTGGGTCATCAAACCATCATAATCACTCTTACGGGTTCAAGCCATTTGGGCTGCAGCCAGGACAGGGTGCTCCTATGGATATTGGCGCGGTCCAAGGCGGACAGATGTGCAGATTCAAGGGCAACTGTTACAACTGTGGCCAAGAGGGACACATGTCCCAAGATTGCAGAAACGGAGCACAGGCCGCCCAACAAAAAAATAACCAAGGGTGCCAGGCGCGCCAATTAGAATCCGAAAAACCGGACGATCGGCTCCAGACTCTGGCCGGTTGCTTGTACGACAAAATCCGGGCCTTCTTCTACGATCAGCAGGCTGCTGAAATGAAGGCTCAGGGAAAAGGGTTCGGAGCTTAGGTCACTTGGGTGCCTTTGCTCCTATGAACAATGAAGTAAACCACAACAAAGTGGCCCCTGCTCCAGGGTGTTGCACAAGCAATAAAGGAAAGACGGGGATGGCTCCCCAATTTGTAAATAAATCTCTAAATTTGTTATCTAAAACTTGTACCTGTATAAAGCATTGTGACTGTAATATTTATGATACTACCGCTGCACCAGCGTCTCCCTTGGAGCGTGGCCCCGGCGAGACAAACAATAGGGTGCTTGATTCTGGTAAAAATAAGATAGAAAAACATGTAACTTTCGATACCTCTTCTTCTTCACTGGAGCCACCCTTTCCAGAAATCCCAAGGTGTGTGTTGATGCGCACGTATTTATTCCAAAAAGAGATCTGTTTAGATGTTGGTGTGGAAAACTTTGCCCGGGGCATTGTACACCCAACCAGCGCACTGCTTGATTCAGGCGCTAACGGAATCTTCATAGATCAGGCCTGGGCGGAGCAAATTGGACTCCCCCTTGTAAAATTAGATGTATCTATTCCCGTCTATAACATTGACGGTACGCTTAACGCGGGTGGCTGCATCACACACAAATGTTCTTCTGTTGTCGAATACCAAGGACACAGAGAACGAGTCACCGCCGAAGCTACCCAACTAGGGAAGACTAATTTAATCTTGGGCTGGACCTTGCTATTTAAACACAATCCTGAGATCGACTGGCAGACAGGGGTTGTCACATTGTCACATTGCCCTCAGGAGTGTGTGAACTTGGGTAAACCAAATCATGTCCATCACAATGAGCGTCTTGAGAAGATAGACGCTGGTCATGTTTATGAGCTCAGATCTTTAGAAAAGATCAACAATGACGATGATGAGGTAAAACCCGAAGAAGAGATTAAGAGGCTGGTACCTCCCGAGTACCATGACTTCTGGAAAGTCTTTTCTAAACATAAATCAGAACACTTCCCAGAGGCTAAGCCTTGGGACCATGCTATAGATTTGAAGGACACCTTTAAACCGAGAAAAGGACATATGATACCACTCTCTGCTCCAGAAAGAGATGAGGTATCAAGTTTCATAGACGAACAGCTTAGGAAGGGTTACATCAGACCTTCCAAAAGCCCTATGACGTCCCCGGTGTTTTTCATTCCTAAAAAGGATGGTAAGAAGTGTATGATCATGGACTATCATTACGTGAATGAGCACACGGTTAAAAATGTGTATCGGCTGCCTTTGATCAGTCAGCTAGTAGACAAATTGGCTGGTGCCAAGATCTTGACAAAGATGGATCTCAGATGGGGGTACAATAATGTACAAATCAAAGAAGAAGATGCTTGGAAGGCCGTGTTCACGTGCCACCAAGGATCCTTTGAACCCCTTGTTATGTTGTTTGGGTTGACCAATTCACCGGCAACCTTCCAGAGCATGATGAATGAGATTTTTGCGGATATGGAAAACTGTGTCGTCATTTACATTGACAATTTGTTAATATTCATGAAGTCAGACAATGAGGCTGAGCATGACAGGATCATGCAAGAAGTCCTTTGATGCTTACAGGAACGGGACCTATTCATCAAACCCGAAAAATATAATTTTAAAGTGAAGGAAGTAGACTTCCTTGGTATTGTCATAGGCCAGAATGGAATCAGGATGGACCCTGAGAAAGTTCAAGCTATATTGGACTGGCCAGAACCTACTTGCGTCAAAGGAGTTAGGGCCTTCCTTGGCTTGGGAAATTTCTACCAAAGGTTTATTGAAAACTTTGCAAAAATTACGAGACCGTTGAACGATCTCACTAAAAAGGACATTGTTTGGCACTGGGGCGCCAAGGAACAAGAAGCTTTTGATAAGCTTAAGCAGGTGTTTACAATAGTGCCCATATTACCATTTCCAGAATTAAACAAAGAGTTCCGGCTAGAAACCAACTCTTCTGATTTTGCTACTGGGGCTGTTTTGTCAATTATATGCCCTGACGATCTTTTGAGGCCTTGTGCCTATTTATCACATAGTTTGTCGCCTACAGAGCGCAACTATCAAATTTACAACAAGGAGATGCTAGCCATCATTAGAGCCTTAGAGCACTGGCGGCACTACTTAGAAGGTGCTAGACACCAATTTGAAATTTGGACCGATCATAAAAATCTGGAGTATTTTATGACGGCCCGAGACTTGAACCGAAGACAGGCCCGCTATGCGGTGTAATTGTCAAGGTTTAATTATAAATTAATTCATAAGCCTGGAAGCTCTATGGGGAAAGCGGACACTTTCTCCAGAAGAGAGAATCATGCCAACAGCATCGAAGATAACAACAAAGGTGTTACCCTGATAGACCAATCAAGGGTTGCCAATGTTAGAATTGGGCAGGATTCTGATCTTCTGGAAGTCTTCAAGAAAGACATCTCCTCAGAAGAGAAGGTGCACCTTGATGGCAATGAAAACTATTTATGGGAAGACAGGCTCTTCCATTTTAAAGACAAAATCTATGTGCCTGAGTCCGCAAGGATCAAGGCAATAGATAGACATCATGACACTCCAGTGGCTGGGCACCCTGTTACGCTTTGTGATGTACAAGCTTGGTAACAAAAGGGTTTCTGGATATGGAAGTGGTTTCTGATAAGCCCGTGGACAACGGGTTTGAGACGTATTCTGAAGTAGCTGAAGGGTTTTAATATGAATACCAAGTTGCACTGTTGAAGCATACAATCGTATTGGAGATGTTAACTACAATACAAGTGGCTATATATACTGTCCTACTTTAGGGTAGGTGTTTGTGTTGAACAAACGACAACGGGTGAAAAACTATAATGAGTAACAAGTGTGGGAAATAGTAACGAGTAGTGGTAGGTAGCTACTCAAAGAAGAAATAAAGTTTGTATGAGTCACAGTTCATAACTTTACCCCCGTTTTATGTTCAGACTGCTCCGAAGTCTCCTAATTCTCCGTCTACGTTGTACCGTGCGTCGTCGTCCAGGTCGTTATGTATGTCATCCAATCCCCAACTATCCGGGGAAAAGGGGTCGTTGCGTTGTTGGTTACATTCATTAGCTCGGTGCCCTGGGGCATCTAACCCGCACGTAGAGCAAGTATGGTAACGACAATAGATAGCGCAATGGCCATATCCTTGACATGCATAACAACGTTGAACACGAGGGCGGCGTCTTCGTTCCTAAGAGGATTGTGAATGAGTGGAATTGGAATAGTCTGATATGGGCGAGGGCTTTTTGCCTTTACTCCCGGTGGACGAAGTGTCCCCTTCATTGCTCCTCAATGACCTTCCATCCGGAGATTTGTCGCTGGTTGATATCAGGGTCTTCCCCTGGCCTGTGTGTGGTACTCGGGGAGTGCGGCCCAAAGGAATAAGGAGTACCGGCTCGGGGCGCTGTCGGCATAGGCGGCGGGGGCAACGCGGTTGGGGAAGTTGGGGAAGGAGTGTCGTTGGTCGCGTAGGAATCAATGTGTCCTGCAATGCATTGACTACGTTGGGAACAGGGGCTATTGAGCCGGTTGTAGAGGAATGTATTGGGGATAGTGGAGCGGGCACGGGTAGAACAAGATCTGGCAATGATGGGCGAGATGCTGGTGGAGGTGGTGGTGGAGAGTGAGGGGGGTGACGTCCTGGAAATGCGTGTCCCATGAGACCTGGTAGGGATAACAAATCTGGGGGAGGGGAGATGAGGTATCCTTGTTGGGCGAGAAGGTTCCTCGCGTCTGTGCACATCTTTTGGCCCCCTAATTGTAGGAAAGCCTCAACCACTTCTTTCTCTCCATTCTCGCAGTTCTTCCTCAAGCGTCGTTCCAGGGATTATATCTGCAAGTGTTCCATGAGCAAAGTCGCTCCAATACTCAATGCGGAATTGTTGTCCCGTGTAAGCTCATCTACTAATGAAGCCAGTGAGACGGTGACTGCGTGTAGTTCATCAGCAATTAGGAATGATTGTTGCCAGCGATGGAACATGTCCAGAGGGTAGGTAGCGTAAGGGCACTCGATGTTAGACTGAAGGAATAGATAAAAGTATGCGTGCCTATCTGACATCAGTTTGGTGGCATCTACAATGTCGGTCTGTTTGTGAGTAAGGGCTAGTCGGTGTGCCCATTGGGCTTCAGTGACTACTGGTGGTTCGGTGAGATAAGGAGGAAACTGAGGGGGTTGTTGGTCAACAGGGGTGGTTTGAGACATCTTGTCTTGGGTAAGGATGTAGAAGTGTAGGAGGGAGTTCATTATTAGGGCTGCTTTTACAATTTGTGCCTTTTCTTATACTCCGTCAAGGTCTTGGAGGCATTCTGTAGGTTTGCTTCTTCTTCCCAGGAATTTTTGGCCGACGGGTAGTCCTTCTACTTTGTATTCCTCTTGATCGTTGATTATCTCCGCCGGTGGTCTTATGTAATTTTCTCCGTGGACTTTGGTTTGTTTGTACGGGGTTAGAAGGGTTGCGTGGAATACAGGATGGATTTTCCACGCGTCTGGAAGTTTTAGTTGGTAGTTAACCGGCAATATTTTTTCAAGGATGACAAAGGGGCCTTCTCGTTTCCAATTGAACTTTCGGTAGGGTGTTCCTTTCTTCTTTAGGTTCGTTGCTTCTAGCCAAACCTTTTGTCCGGTTGTGAACGTAGGTAACCAATGCTGCGAGTATTTTTGCATGTGTGCCCTTGCTAGTCCGTGTGCTTGTAAGGCTATGGTCCTTGCTTCTAGCAGGCTAGATAGTCTTTTGCTTACAACTGGTATGTTGGTCGTCATTGGTGTCGAGGGGAGATCTCTGGGGTGGTATCCCATCATTAGATAGAATGGGGATTCGTTCCGTGCAGAGTGGGGTCTGTGGTTGTGGCAGAATTTGGCTGTTGTGAGATATTCCATCCAAGAGTGTGGTAAATTATTGCAGAAGATCCGCAAGTACGTTTCTATCTCTTGGTTTACCCTTTCGGTTTCTCCATCAGATTGAGGGTGATATGCCGTTAATAGATTAATTCTGGTTTTGAGTAATCTGGCTAGTTCCTTGGCTACCTCTGATGCAAATTGTGGTCCTCTATCGGATATGAGTTTATCATGTAATCTGAATCTTCCAAACACGTGTTGGTGAAATAATTTAGCCGTTCCTAATGTGTCAATAGTTTTCCTGCATGGTGATAGTATTACCCCCTTCGTAAGGCTGTGGTCCACCACAACCATGAGACTGTCATATCCGTTGCTTTCTGGAAGATCTGTGATGAAGTCGATGGACAGGTTTTTGAATGGTTCAGTCGTTTTGGGGCCTATAATTGGTTGAATGGGTACTTTGATCGGGTTTGTAATCGCCTTACTCTGTTGGCATGTGGCACACCCTGCAACATATTCTTTGATCATTTGCGTCATACCTGGCCAATAGTAATATCGTGTTACTAATTGGGTTGTTTTCAGTTGTCCAGGATGTCCGGCTGTGAGTGTATCGTGTTGTCGTTGAATGCATGCTTTTCTTTCTATTCCTGTGGGAATATACCGGCGACCTTTGTAGTAGACGTCATTGTTTTTGATGGTCCAATCTGTGGGGTCTGAGTGTATTGGCAATTTGGTTCCATCATGTAAACTGTCCTTTATGCATGTGAGAAATGGTCTGTGGTCGCTACAGCGGCAAAGACAGTTTTTGGGAGCAGTGGCGTGTCTTGTTCGTCATCTTCCATGTATAGGTCCAGTCTCCTGGATAGATTGTCTGGAATTGTCATTTGTGTCCCTGGTACGTGTTTCAGAGTATAGTTGTACTGTGAGAGAAGAAGTTGCCAGCGTCTTTGTTGTGGTGTCAATTTTCTGGCTTCTTGCCAGTATGTGAAATTTTTGTGATCCGTCAATATCTCTATCGTGTGTGTGCTGCCTTGGAGATAGTGTTTCCATTCTTCCAATGCTCTGATGACGGCCAGTAGTTCCTTGTTGTATATCTGGTAGTTCTTCTCCGCTGGGGATAGTGTTTTGGAGAAGAAGGCACACGGATGCCATACTCTGTTGTCATCTGGTTGGTTTAACACCGCTCCGGTTGCATGTTTGGACGTGTCCGCCGCAATTTGTGATGGTTTGTTAGGATCGGGTATCTGCGTCACCGGTGATTTGCTAAAGCGGTGTTTCAGCAGCGCAAATGCATTTTCTTCGGCCATTGTCCAGCTCCAAATTTTTCCTTTTTCGAGTAGGGCATTGAGCGGTTTTGCAAGTTCCAAGTAGTGGCCAATGAACTTTCAGTAGAAGTTGCCAAATCCAAGGAACTTCCGTACTTCGTGTGTGTTGGTTGGGGTAGGCTAGTTTTGGATTCTGGCTAGTTTTACTGGATCCATTTGTACCTGGTTGTGGCGAACAATCATGCCGAGATATTCTATTTCGGCCACATCAAAGGTGCATTTTTCCAGTTTCAAATATAAGTCATTTTCCTGTAGGCGTTGTAACACTCTTTTCGTCCATAGAATGTGTTCTTCAGGATCCTTGCTGAATATGAGCATATCGTCTATATATATGATAAGCCACCCTTTGTCTATCATGTCCGCAAAGAGGTCATTCATCATGCGTTGGAAGGTGGCCGGGGAGTTGCACATGCCGAAGAACATTACCGTGGGTTCGCAGAGTCCTTTCCTAGTTTTAAATGCTGCCTTCCATTCGTCTCCTTCTTTTATCTGGACATTGTTATATCCCCATCGTAGATCCAATTTTGAGAAATGTGATGTTCCACGGAGTTTGTCTATGAGGTCGGGGATCATGGGTAGTGGATAAGGATCTCAGATGGTTTGTTCATTTAGTTGTCGATAGTCCTGGCATGGTCATAGAGAACCGTCCTTTTTGTCTATATAAAAGAAAGGGGAAGCCATCGGGGATTTATTTGGTCAGATATATCCTTTTCAAAGGTTATCGTCAAGGAATTCTTCGAGTGCCATGTTTTCCTTGGGTGATAAAGGGTAGATTTTACAATCTTTTGGTTTAAATTCTGGTTTTAGGTTTATGGCGTGATCGTAGATCCTTCTTGCCAAAGACCATTGCAAATTCTTTGTAGGTTTTGGGTAGTTCCGTTATCTGTTTCCCAACATTGTGCTGGATGGCTAGTTCCATTGCGGTGTTAGTTTTCACAAAGATCCGTGTTTTGTGTACGTAATTGATCAATAGTTCTGGCTGATCTGTTGTGGTGGTGCAAATCATGGATTAGTTGGAGTGATGTCGGATTGTGCGAATGGCGTGTTGGGTGTCTACACTTTTGGATGTCCAGTCTATAGTGGGGTTTACCTTGTGAAGCCATGGGTATCCAAGGAGAATATCTTCTCCTCCTAAGCCGGTGATAAGGAATTTGCACATAGTGTTCCTTCCTCCTGCTTCTACCCGCTGATACGTGTAATGGGTGATCTTGCCTCCGTTGCTGACAGTTCCATCTACATTTTTTGCATGTGATGGGTACTTCTAATTTGTTAAGGGGTAGGCGATGTTTGATGGCAAACTTTGCGTCCATAAAGTCATCGGTTGCTCCTGAGTCAATGAGCGCTTTGGTTCCAATGGTTTTTTGTTGTAATGTGATGTCAATTTGTAGGGAGTTCAAATTAATTGTAGCTATGGTTACAACGGCTATTTGGGACGGTACCAACATTGGGGTGGGTCGTCCTTTCAAAAACCGTCTTTTTCTAATTTGTCAATGGCAGAGGCGCGATCGGCTTCTCCAAGTTCTCTCCACATTTTGAGGATGTGGGAAATTCCTTTTCCATCTTCTACCACAGTCTCTGTGTCTTCTTTTCCTGTGACTTTGGCGGTACAAATTTTTTGTTCCGGCTGTTTTCCTTTCCTTTTATCCGGGCAAAACCGCGAGATGTGTCCTTGTTCTTTGCATATAAAGCATTGCCCTTCTCTTTTGAGTGAGTCTTCTTCATCTTTGGTTAAACATTTTGCCGAGGATGATTGGCTTCTTCCTCCTTTTTCTTCTCTCTTCTTTTCTCCTTTCTTTCCCTATTTCCCTTTGCTGATGCTGTTTGAATTTGTCCAGTTGGCATCGAGGCCAGCAACAGTGCTCATCCATCCTGCAATGTTCTTTGGTTGGGTGGCAGAATTGAGCACGTTCCAAAGGAGATATGGGCGTATGGAGCTTTTTTATACCATGATTAGTCCTTCGTTGTTCAAGCCGCTTTTTCCCGCTTCTACCATAAAACGGGAGTTAAACTTTACTGCCATTTCTCCTGTTTCCATTTTCATTGTCATAAGGGCCGCACTGGCTGCTCCCTTTACATCCGCTGTAATGAATGTTCCGTTAAAGTCGGTTTCGAAGTCTGCCCATTTCGGGTATTTGCCCAATCTGGTGTATTCCGTCAGTTTGGTCTCTTTCCATGCTAGGGCGGCTCCCTCCTTCATGTGGGAGAGGGCTTTGAAGACCTTCTTTTTGTCGGAGTTGTAAATGGCGTCGTTTACGTCAAAGTATGCTTTGGCTGACAACATCCAGCCGTTGGCTTGGTCGGGCATTCCATTGAAATCGTCTATTTGTCCAAACTTGGTGGGTTTGGGTGCTGTGGCGTTGGACATGGTGCTAGTTGGTGGAATGGGAGATGGGTTGGGTGCAGGGGGAAGTATCTGAGGTGTGGGATGTGGCACTGGTTGGCCTTCTGCGGCAAATTCTTCAAAGTCTTGTTTGTTGTAGATGACTTCTTCCACGACCAGGGGATTGTGTTGGGTTCTGGGTATTAGCTGCGGGTGACTTCTTGCATAATACTGTAACCAATGTGTTCTAGCTTCAATGAATGTGTTTGCTTGTTCTCTGGTATGAAGTCTGGTGATGTCGGATTGGGGAAAAAAAGGGGTGGTGCTGCTGTTCTTTCTTGTCTTGACAATACTGGGGGTGTGGCCGTCTGAGTAGGTTCTGCTCTGGTCTGTGCCCTGGTAGTGGGTCTTCTTCCTTGCGACATTTTGTCGACTTTTTCATCCCTTCGCTAGAAAGTGTGGGAATGACGGTGTAGAATACGATTATTCCGTTACACTTTGTGATGTACAAGCTTGGTAACAAAAGGGTTTCTGGATATGGAAGTGGTTTCTGATAAGCCCATGGACAACGGGTTTGAGACGTATTCTGAAGTAGCTGAAGGGTTTTAATATGAATACCAAGTTGCACTGTTGAAGCATACAATCGTATTGGAGATGTTAACTACAATACAAGTGGCTATATATACTGTCCTACTTTAGGGTAGGTGTTTGTGTTGAACAAACGACAACGGGTGAAAAACTATAATGAGTAACAAGTGTGGGAAATAGTAACGAGTAATGGTAGGTAGCTACTCAAAGAAGCAATAAAGTTCATATGAGTCACAGTTCATAACACACCCTGGGTGGCAACGAACAATGGAGTTGATCTCCAGAAACTATATGTGGCCTGGCATGGTCAAAGAAGTACAGGAATACGTAAAATCCTGTCTGAGATGTGCCATGGCTAACAATTCTCACCAACCGCCGGCCGGTAAACTTATGCGGAATCCGATACCAGCTGGTCCCTGGCAAGATATATTGGTTGATTTTTTCACAGTGGAACTGCCCGAGTCAAATGGGTATAATTCAGTAATGGTGGTAGTAGATTGCTTCTCCAAAGAAGTGGTATTCATAGCCACCAATAAAACCATTACCGTCGCTGGTACAGCAGATTTATTTAAAGATTTTGTATGGTCTATCCATGGGTTACCAGAAATGGTTATCTCCGATAGAGGGCCACAATTTGCTAGCAAATTTACAAAAGAGTTATGCCGGATGCTGGGCATCAAACCTAAGTTATCAACAGTGTTCCATCCGCAGACCAACAGACAAACAGAGAGACTCAACCAGGAGTTGAAGCAATACCTCCGGATATTTATTAATGACAGGCAGACAGATTGGGCCAAGTGGCTAAAGATAGCCCAGTTCTCTTACAATATCAAACAGTCGTCGGCTACAGGAAAGGCACCATTCGAGGTTACTAGATCGTATCTCCCCAGAATGGGTGTAGAACCTGGTAAAAGCAAGAACGAGGCTGCTGGGAACATGGCCAAAGACATGAAGTCTGTCTTGGACAAAATGTGCAAGGCGCTATTTAAAACTGCAGAGCAGATGAAAGACAGGGCAGAGTGTAGACGCTCTAAGGCCCCTGACTACAAGGTCGGTGACCTGGTCTGGTTAGATACCGACCACTTAAAGTTAAAAGGTCGGCAGTCTAGAAAACTGACCGAAAAATGGATTGGCCCATACCGGATTAAGGAAGTCAAACCCAATGTGGTGGAGTTGGAACTCCCAAAACGAATGAGGGTAGTACCCACAGTCAATATTAGCCGTGTGAAACCCTACAAAGGGCTGCTGCCGGGACAGCGTATAGACCGGCCCGGACCGGTTGTAGTCACCCAGGAAGGTGAAGAACAGTTCAAAGTTGAATGGGTGGTGGATGCACGCTTGAAGCGTGGTAAATTAGAGTTCCTAGTATATGGAAGGGCTATGGAGATGAAGACAGAATGTGGGAACCAGAAGCCCATCTGGACAATTTCTGCAATGCTGTTCGCAAATTTTATTCTAAGAACCCCTCAGCTCCTAGGAAGCTTAGAGGCATGGACTCAAAACTTTTTAATTCCCTTTTTCAACCTATGCCCAAAAATTTAACTACCACCTCCGGTATTTGGTCTCACCTAGAAGTCGAGCCTTAGAAGGGGGTAGTGTTACGATAACACAATTTTTGAACCTTTCCTTCATTTTCATTCTCCGCTTTAACCTTGTATACTTTAGCTTTCACACATGGTGCCACGCGGCACTTCCCCTTTTGTTCAAACTCCTCTTTCTCGCACCATGTTGCCTTCTTCTTATTTTAGATACAACTCTCTCACACAGTGGAGGTGGTCATGCGGGCTAGGCCCCATGACATCATCAGCCACTGACTTTATCAACTGTACAGTACATAAGTACAAACACTCTGTATTAGTATATATACCCCAATAGATCCAGGAGACTCCTTAGCAAGTCCTCCTGTTGTATACCAACAAACTCTCTGCAGCTTAAGGGGTAACTACTCCCTCTTCACTACCTTTATAGTGTGTTCCTGTGTGCGCCAGAGTAACTAACTCTTGGTTGTTACACTTTCTTTCTATTTAAGATACAAGTCTCTCACGCAGTTGAGCTGGTCACATGGGCTGCACCCTCGGACATCATCAGCCACTGCCTTCATCAACTGTATAGTATATATGTACAAACAAACCTGTTATAGTATATATACCCCAATAGATCAAGGAGACTCCTCAGCGAGTCCTCCTCACAACTAACTTGTTGAAGCCTAAAGGGTAACCACTCCCTCATCATTATCTCTATAGCTTGTCTGAGTTGTGTGCCAGCCAGAGTAACAAACTCTTGGTTGTTACAGCGTGAGGATCTTGCAGTTGATGGTGACATTGTTTATGATGTTTCCCTGGGGTGAACAAATCAGTGTTGCATGTCCTGGAACATGGTTAGAAGGGTGTATCTGTCTGAGATGAGACAATGACAACTTACGCTTGATGAGATGTTTGGGATCACTGTCAATAGTGACATTGTGGCTACCGGTGAAAAGGTTGAGTCCTGGCAGGCGGGAAAGAACCTCAAAAAGGCCATTGACGTTGTTTGAAGTAAGCTCTTTACACATAAACAGTGTATAACAAGCCTGTCTTCTCGTTGAGTCACCATCAGTCAAGAAACACCAGATGGGGCCAAAGCAATTTTCACCATCTGGGTGACTGCTCAAACAGTCAAGGATAGTTTGAATGAGACAAACAGCTTCCGCTGCCATCTCATTTTTGCAGGTTGGTGACACAAGGACGGGGAGGGGATTATAATTTGTTGGCAAAAATGCAGCAATTACTGCAACTGTAGCTTCTTTGCCATAATGACAAAGAGGCTCTTTGCAAGTGACCATGTTGGAAATGTGAAGTAGAGAATCTATATCAATAATCTTAAGATCAACAAGGGAGCTGTGTTCTTGACAGAGACCATCAATAGAGTTTCTTTCTTTGTCGTAGTAGGCAGTTTTGTTAATAGAAATCTCATCTATCTGGATACTGTGGCCACGATGAGGTCAAAGAGGGAGCTTTCCAAAGAATGTTTTGATGTTACTGTTGACCTTGGATGCTTTGATTTTTGTGAGGCTGGAAACTAATTTCCAGTATTCAAACCACCTTAGAGTGGAGGTAATAGATGGCAAGCCCAAGGCTTGGCTAAGTGTATATAAGAGTTTGCAGCCACCAAGTGCAAGAATAAGGCAGGAAATATCATTGTCAACTTGTGTGAATCCCCTCGATTGATACAGTTTCTCCATTGATTGCTCAATTTTCACTGTTATACAGCAAACACTTGCTCCTTAACTCAGTGTCGTACCAATGAGTTGCTGTAGTTGGGGAACATTTTTTTCTGAAAGCCCAATGAGAAAATGTTTGAAGTCATTAGGATGTCAAACCATTGTACTAAGTTTCTGATTGAAATTCAAAGCCTATAATATTTGCAGATTAGTAGCTGCTAGACTAGCAAAAAGAAGGCTTACTTTTATTTGATAGGTATTCAGTTGTTCATTGCACGCATCACGCAAGTCACAAAGTTAATGGTGCGTGAAAAACTTGTAAGGTGTGTGTAGTGTGGCTGCACAAGCACACTGTTCTATATCTTGACGTGCCTTGCTTGTCTGTACTTCCAGACAAGCCATATACGCCTCTTCTTTGCCACCAATATGCTGTGTGCACTTGTTTGACCTTATCCAGAATGTACGGTCATCTCTTTCAACAGCACAAAACTTGTATCCTAAGCTCTTTGTCCCATATTCATGTTGAGTCCATGGGTAAGTCTTGAAAATTGTCCCTAACGACCAATTGAGTAACACCCCAAGGCAAATATTAAACCTATCACTTGGTGAGTCAGCTGAAATCACCACTTGATCAACTTGATTGTTGATTGACCTTGATGTCATGATATTTTGAATGGGGCCTTACAGGGCTGAGAGTGGACTGGGACTTGCAAGTCTTGACCAGTTAAGCTGCTGGGGGCTAGGAGGATTGCTTAGAGTACTTGGTAAGCTTATACTGCGGCTACTGCTGTCTAGTGGTGAGATGACTGATCTGGGACTGTACTGCAGGTCTTGTGTATCCAAAGTACTGAGTGACGCTGAGCGGGATATGACTAGCCTTTGGAGGTCAGATGCAAAGTACAAACCTGCCATAGTTTCCTCCATGTTTTCCGATGAGGGGAAAAAACCACCAAATCAAATGTAAGGTCTTCTTCATTTTGGTGAGCAAGTTCCCCAAGCCAAATAATCCCGTTCATAAGTAATGCTTGCATGTTACAAAGAGCATGTATTGTTCATCCAAAGTGCTGTTCATGTTGAACTAACGGGTCTGCATGACAACTGCAAAGGGTGTTTGTCATGTTCATAGATTAGCTTTAATGGCTGAATTCCAGTGATGTGAGAACTTACGGTTTCTTTCTAGGACCAAGAATTAGAGCACTTTCTCACAGGCATTGACCAGTTGTTGTGGAGCCTGTTTGTGGAGTTTGAGCCGCATTATGAAGCTCAGAGAGATCACCGTTTTTGCCTGGTGACATGGCAGTAACTTGAAGTGGATATGTAGATGTGTGTAGTAGTAGTAAGGAATAAAATATAGGATATATAGCTTCAATTTCAGAGTTGGATCTGAGAGAATAATATAAGTGATGCTAAGGGCATCATACTAATACCTAGGAAAACATAAAAGGGTTAATTTCATAGTGTGCTTGATATTGCTTGGATTGAATGTTTCATGAAGATATATTAGTGTATTGTTATGGACTTGGTGGTTATGTTCAATTCAGGCCAAGTCATGATGCAGTGCCTGACAGTGGAGGACTTCAAGTTAGACACAGAGCTTCCAACTGCTGTAAAAACCACAAATTATGTGTATGGTAGCTAGTGCAGAGCAAACCCACTGAATTTTTGCCCCAGTTCATAGACAGATCAATACTGAATAGGCCTTCTAGAGTGGTATATTTGGAGTAAAAACGTGCTGAGGTACGATCCCTTTGATAGTGGTGTTGGTGCTTGTACAAAGTTGGGGTGGTTTGACATTGCAAGGATATGTGACTGTAATAGTTCTAGCGTAAACTTATAACGATAAAAGATATAAATTAGAAAAAGGCATTACCTCATAAGACTATACAGGGGGGGGGCTGAAATTGGCAGGAAACAGAGAAATAGAGCAAATTTTGGATTTCCTGGTATTTGCAGACTTATGTGATAGCCTTCCAATTTTGTCAGGGAGATACTCCAATACGTTGGAGCAATGGAGCGATCAAATTTGACAGGAATGGAAATGCTGTAAAACAGTACTACGGGTCCTGATTTACCTTACTTTGCTTTATGGGGGCAAGCCATATAAGAAATTGTGAGCATATACATACATATAATGTTATAAAGCTCACAAGCATTGAAATACAACTGATCAGTAGAAGTGGGACAACACTCACTATTGAACAGATTTGAATCCTGATAGCTTTTCTCTACTTCTTCCACTCCTGCCCCATCACCATCTGTTCAACTGTCAAGTGCACCATGCCTACCAATGCACCTAGAGCTTGTTCTAACACCAGAAGGCCTTGCAGTGTGGCGGCAACTAGTTCTGCAAATGTTGTGCCTAGCATCTATACTAGCAGTGAGTAGTTCATGTATTGCTTACCAGAATTTGAATAAATGCTAGATAGAACAGTCCTGGGATCATGATAACAACTTGGGGGACGGGATTGGGCCATCTAAGACATCTAAAAGGCCTGAGTCGAATGACAGGAAGAAAATGAAGCATTTGCACCCTCTAGCTGAAAAGAAAAATCACGGTGAGTACTTACTTCAACGCAAGCTCAATGGGTTGTAAATTGAATCTCATCTAATATTTCTGACAGCTCGTGAATGTATGGACCCCCCTGTCTTTCCCGCTCACAGACCTCCCACAGCTCCACCCACTGAGCTCAACCTTCTACTACAGCTGGACTCATGGACAAGGCCCGGTATTAGTGTGACTGAGTTTAAGAAGTTGTTTGCAAGCTGTACATGTGGATTTGCTATGACACAAAAGGTGTTTCCATTGCACAAATGTGCCAAAACAGTCACAGCAAGGGATAAGGAGAATATCTTCATTGATTTGATGGATTTAGCGGTGTCATGCACCAAAGTTGATTGGTAGCATGGACAGGTGTCAATAACAAAGTGAATATTCAAAAAGACTCGCCTTTGCGCCACACAGGCACAGTGCCACGTGGAATAGTAATTAATATTGCCCTTTTCAATCTTGTGGCTGATCAGCACCACCTCTATTGGGAAATCTGGTCGCACTCACCTTTGCTTTCCATTCAGTATTTTCCGTGTTTCGGCATTTTGGCAAATTTTTGCGTCGCCACTGGCTACACATTGCATTGCGCCCTTGCCTTAATCGTTTCCCTTACTCCCCTTCCTTTGCCTAGCCCCACCATGGGCCCCTTCCTCTCCTTTTTATTCTCACCCAACGGTTGTTTCTGGATCCCCATTCTAATCCACCTCTTTGTCACCTCCAGCCTCCTCCTCCTCATCTTCTTTGCTCCCCCACCATTTCTGATGTCACCACTTCCTATCCGCTTCCGTTGCCAATCTGTTGACTACCATGTACCACTGCTGATATCAGCAAAGCCCCGGTGGCCGGTCCAAATAGGGCAACAGGTCCATCTTCATGACGTCGATCTGCCATCATATACTATCAAAATGTCAGTCGCTCGTCTCGCCTGGTTGGAGCGTGGGTGGGTAGTTTTTGAGCTGGAGAAGGTTCATCCCCTTGCATCGCCCATGTTAATTGCTGTCCCATTCACTTGGGTACACTTATCTTTTATCCATTGTCTTTGCTACAGCTATACCTACCACACGCTGCCTGGGACTCACTTGTTCCAAATTGGAACTACTCCTCTTCCTCCCTTGTTTGTCCAGGTGGTCCAACACAATGAGTCCATTGGTAAGGCCATGGAACCGTCGGATTTGGACTAAGTGGTGAACTGGTGGCTCCAGTTTCTTTTTTTTCAGCAGAACATTCATTTGCAGTGCAATTTTTTGATTTTTGAATCATTTTTATGGACACATATTTTTTTTAGAATGCCTGACTGACAATAAAGGAACTGTGTTGATACTGATAGTGTTTTGCCTTGCCCTTTTTTTTACTGCATTTTCCCATGACATCATGATTTTCCTGCTCTCTTTTTGCTATCGGACTTTACTTTATGGCTGTACAAACCTGTGACATTATTCACAGCATTCATTGTTCTATCCCTTTCTTTTCCTTTTTTTGACAATCTTATCCTGTACTACCTACGCAGGATTCGTCAGCGTACATTCCTTCCTTCATGTTCTTTCTCATTCTTTTTGCACAGCTATACTGTGCATAGCCTACTTTTCTTTTACGATATAAACCCTTGTATTCTACCTTGTAAAAAAATAAAAAAACAAGAAATCCAATCCAGACTTCTTCTCTAAATCTCAAGTTCACTACTCTGCTACTTGTGATCCAGTGTGGTCACAACACTTCCCACTGTTACTACTGTTAACTGCTGTCATCGTCACTCGTCACTTTTGAAAGTGATTGTCATCCCTTTTGATTAGAGTCCTTCTGAGCACTACAGTTTGTGCATCAGGAACCTGCTATCACTGGGAACCTTGTTTTATTGTTATTCTCAAACCTACCTTGTGCTAAGATTAGCAAGGTAATGCTCATCCTATGTCTCAAAAAGCCCCTATTTTCTATAGTTCAACTATCCCTCCTCCTCAAAACCCACACCCATACATCTGTGGGTTTTACTTTGAAGGATCATCATACATACCACCCCACAAACAACCAGAGCACCCACTGTTCTAGGAGGCAAAACCCATAAACAAGTTCCGTGGAATCTGGGAGGATTGTGTGTTAGTTTGTTTTGTGTGTGGTTTTCTAACAACAGTTCTCATCATCGACAGTGGATAGTAGTACCAGGTTGGAAACTGCATAAGGGGAATAAACACAATGACAAAGTGTCATAGCTATTGTGAACTTTGCCATCAGCAAACAATGGAATAATATGGCAGCTTCATAAAATGTCCTTCAGGTCCACAAAGCCAAATGCTTCTTCATGGTGAATGGGGAGAAACAAGATACATTCTAATGTGTGAGGACCCCAACCAGCTACATTGGTATCAACTATTCTATACCATCTCACCCACAACACCTCTATCCGTCAAGTGTTATAATCCACCATGTCTGATCCAACATAGGCAACATTGGCATGAGAAATACCAAGGACTTGTGCATACCAGTAATGGTGTTGTTGACCTCCAGAGGTATAGTCATGAGGGGGAGTAGAGAGTACCATTATATTTTGGTGAGCAGTACCAGGATTTATAACATCTTGAGTTTGTTGCACATTGTACATGGTATAGTTGACACCTAAGATTTTTTGTCTATATTGGCGATTGTTTTTGATGAGAAAACATGAAATTTTGTCTGTGTCTGGGTCGTTTTCTTGAGTTGCAAGCTTTCTACTGGTATCAATGCGTGCTGATATTTCTTTTCAAAGTTTTTCCTTGATACAAGGGAGTAGATGCTGTTTAAGCTTTGGTACAAAATTCTGAAAGGTTGTTCATTTCAAAATGAGACAGGTATTATTGTTGAGATAATATGGTGGTGTGTCTCTAGGATGTGTGCGTCCAAATCCTGTCGTGCCCGGTGCTTGCCTCTGCCTAACCGCTCTTGTATACATTGAATACAATGTTCCTGCTGCTCTTGTGCAATGATACCAAGTCTTGGGTGTGTGATGTTCGAGATCTCCCTGGTCTGAGTCAGTACTAAATTTTAATGAGGATGAAAATGTGTACTAGTTCTGCTGTGTACAAATCTGTTGTGCCATATCTTCTAATACACCCAACATAATCACCAAGAGTGTATATTTTGTAAGTATTCAGTGAAAATGTCTTTAATTGTTGTCCTGTGTTGCTTTTGTGATGTGAGGAGATACTGGCTTTTGGTGCAGTCAATTTGAATATGGTACTTACAAATTTGACACAGCTTTTTGTTCGCCGCCTTCTGGGGCTTAATAATTTGTGATCAGCTCAACACTAGGTCAGATCAAACACAATAAATACCTCTGTGTTGATCTGGCTAGGAGCACTTCACGCTGCACAACATATGCAAGCATCTGCTTCACATTTGAGCTCTCGTGTTTTGAATGCACTACATGTCTTCTCTTTGAAATTACGCAGCGCTTTCCCTAAAGATACAATAAGGCCGTCAAGAATATCTAAAGTTGCATCTGTATGCAAACAAAGTTTTGCTAGGGCATGCCAATGTGCAAGGATCAACAACAGCTGTAAGACACATTTATCATGAGGTTTGGGAAGTAAGCCAGCAAATGCGGGAATAGCACACTGTTTGTATGAGAGACTTCCTGCACAGAGTCACAAAATCAAATACCTGTAGAAGATCCTTGAAATTGTGAGCAGTCATCTGCCTCATTTCCGAGCTACTGCTTGGAAAATGTCTGATTGTACTACTACAAAATGTTGGTGTCTGCCTATATCTTTTTGGATATTATATGTTAATCCACAGTGGAAAAAGAAGGCTCAATATCCTGACAGGTATTTTGGTCCATCCAGCATCATTATTGAGCCATTCATTTACATCATCACCAGCCAGACACCAATCAACAAGATTCCAGTTGACTTCACAAATCTCCTCTGAGCAAAAGCTGGGGTTGCTTACCATGTCTAAAAACTCTTTAAATGATTCCTTCAACTTTTGCGCTCCATCCCAATACCACTCTCCAAGACAGAATGTGTCATAATTTGGATAAAGCATAAAAAAGTTTGAGTTGGAAGACTGAGTGGGTAAGTCAATACTGAGGCAATGCTAAGTGTTATTGGAGTCTGGAGAATTGTCTGGTGTCATATTCTCCTTGGGGTTGTGAGTGGGAAACCTGTTGCTGTGATATTGTTGGAATAAGCCAAAAATATTACGTGGCATGCACAAGAGGGAGCGGAGACAATTTACTATGGAAGAGGCTGGTCTATCCTCGGGAGAGATTGGGCATGAGACAACATACTTAAAGCGGGTGCATGAGGTCTCTCAAGACCATATGTTGCATCAATTGTAGAAGATGGGACTGCTGGTAATGGCTGGGGAAGATCATCTCTGAATTGTTTCAGTAGTTGCCGGTTGAGTCTGTGGGTTTGACATTCAGCAATGGAGACAGTATAATCATCTACCACTTCAGGCATTCTGAGTTGCTCTTCTACATCTGGGTTATTGTTGCGAGACATTTCAGCTGGTGCATGCAGTAGACTAAGTCACCATGTAGCATTGCACATATTGTCTGTGATAATAAAATAAGTGTCTAACAACCTGAGAACAGCTGGCTCCAGTTCACTGTTGCTTTCTCCATACCCATAACTCTTTGGTTTTCTCCAATACACCACCCAGACTTTTTCTTGTTCTTGTCTTCGGACAATTACATTTGTGATTGCTAAGAGTGTTGAGTTGAGAGAATAACCTGCCACTCAAGCAGGACAGGGATGATGATCCACCAATGTTTGGGATCATGTCTGAATTGATTCCAGTGGGTATTTGGGTATGTACAGCCTGAGTGAGTGATTGCAAGTCATACATCCGAGTCACGGCTGGCAGTGCCTAGTACTGCCCTAAGGCCCAAGTACCAGCTCGCCCCAGGCCAATGACTCAGAGTCATGTTGGAGCCATGATGGCAATTGTGATCACTGATCATCATGATAACACAATGGGTAATACTAAGGATACCACAATACACTAAAAGCAGGCCATATAGCAACCATGATTTCCCAAGGACTTGGTGAACCTAACCTTCCTATGTGAATCTTAATTTCCTGTGGTGGTCTTCCAGTGTTTACAGTATAGGTAACAAATGTGAAAGGGCAAGTATTACATATTTATATTCAAGGCAGCATCAACATGATATCTGTAGTAGTACATTTGTAGCTGATAAAAGCAGAGAATATATGGGTAGAATGGAAAAAACAATGGTACTACTGTGAGATAAATTGAAAAACCTATGAGCTCAGGACCAACTTGTCAGAACTGTGGCCTCTTTGGAGTAACAGAGCTGCGGAGTACAAGGGTGGAGTAGTGGAGGATGGAGGACGAGATGGGGAATTGGCTTAGCTCATGTGCTAGACCCTTCCACGGACCTGGGTCCCTAGCTTGTTGGAAGTGGACAGAGGAGAAGTAGAGGATGAAAAGGAGCAGAGTAAAGATCCTTTGGAGAAGGATTGAAAAGGACTTAGAAAAGGACTGGTAAGAAAGCGAGGGAATCTAGTTGATATTTGAATGGCAGGAACAGAGTACAGGAGTTACAGCTTATATACTATTGGGGGAGCAGAAGCTTGTAAGGAGTAACTTGTAATGTAGGTACAGAATTACATGCGGACAATTATCTAGCAAGAGGAGAATGTATGTGCAAGGAGTGTATTATAAGGTCTAACTACAGAGTCCACGAGGAATACTAGAACATGTGAGGAGAATGTATGGTGGACAAGAAGTCCGGTGCAGGAGTATTGGAGTGGACAACCAGAGTACCATGTGGGAATGGAGCTTATGCCAACCGGCAGACCATGAGGAACATAATCCCGAGTATACCAATGGTTTGGGGGTTTCAGGCTTGGAGAACAACTCCTTTGGAGATGCCAGAGGTCTGTCTTCCGGTATGGATATGACAGTATCCCCTTTTAGGGTTGAACCCTTGAGACCCAAAAATAGCCTTTGGGGAAAGGGCTTCAGTGGACGTATTTTGTTTTGAAGCGGGGTTAGGGTAGGATTTTTTCCGGTGGACAAATTTCCTAGTAGCAAGTGGTGTGCAAAGTCTGGCTGAGTTTGAACAAGGATATACAACACGGGGGTTCAACTCGGAATCCCTTCAGTTGAACAGTCACATTCAAAAAATCCTGACAACCCCTCCCGCCACCCACACTTTTCCACCACCATGCCCAACACCTCCGGAACCGCAACCACAAAAATGGCCCAACTCCGTGCGGAGATGGCGGAGGCTGAGCAAAAAAGGGCATAGGAGGAAGCAAGATGGGCAGTAGAAGCCCAGAGAGTCAAGGAGGAGAAATGGCAGGTTGATAGAGAGGAGGTGCAGAAGGCGGAGAAGGAGAAGGAGAAAATGGAGGCAGTGGTAGTGGGGGAGGTGCAGTCCAGGTGCCCCTGCTCTGCCTGTGTGTCCAGGGGGCTGGAATGCTAGTATGGCAGGCATGTGCCTGTGCCAATTTCAGGGCAGCCAACCACCGGTGCAAGGAGGACGGGAATGGGGTTGTGGGTCCCAGCAAGGGGAAGAGGATGGCGGTGGAGTCGGAGGAGTTGGAGGTTGCAAAGTGCCCAACAAAGAGAAAGAAGACAGCAGCGCCCGTAGCGGAAAAGTTGAAGGAGGGTTGGCAGGCCCAGATAGTGGGTCTGCTGGGAGCATTGTTGGAGGAGCAGAGGGCCACCAGGCAGCTGTTGGCTGACCTGGGGGAGGAGAACCGGTGGATCTGGTGTGGTCGGACTCCAATGGGGAGTTGGAGGTGGGAGAAGAGGAGCTCAGGGTGCTTTGAGGAGATGAAGCACTTCAACGTGCATGGGTGGGGGGAGCAGGAGGATGAAGAAGAGGAGGAGGAGGAAAAGGAAGAAGTGGGAATGGGAGTTCCAGAGGCTTTGGAGTTGGAGGGGCAGGGTGAGGAGTAAAAACTCCCCTCCTCTCCTTAGTCATTTACTGTACAGTAGCTAGAATTGTACTACATTTTTTTTTACCCTTTTCTCTTTTTTTTATTTTAGTTCTCCTGTTCTATCATTGATAATCTACGTGAGTAAGTCCGTTTGAACAAAGCCCGAGTAAGTGTAAGTCCAAGTCCGAGTGAGTGTAAGTCCCGGAGGACTACCCTTGCAAGTAAGGACCGGGCTTGTCGGGGTATATTGCGCAGAAATCAGAGACTAGTTTGGAGGCATTCCCGAGTTCCATTGCCAGTATTCATGTGGTCTCATCATTTGTACCTTCGTAGCCAGACCATCTGACTAGATAGAGTAGTGAGCAGGGCTTCCTGCGGCGATCAGCCTTGGAGTCAAGGATTTCAGAGATCTTGTACTCAGGCTCTCCGTCCACAAGGAGAGGGGGAGGCAGAGGCTGGTCACGGATGGGAATGGAGTTTGGAGTCGCGGGTTTGAGCTGAGATACGTGGAAGATGGGGTGTACGGCCTTCATACTATCTGGGAGTTTCAGTGTGAAGGACCTAGTACCTGCCTGAGCTATGATTATATAGGGGCCCAGGTACTTCTCCGAGAGTTTCTTGGAGGGGCACGTGGAGCGGAAGTACTTGGCTAGGACGTACACTTGCCCGCCAACTTAGAAGTCCAGGGCTAGCATACGGCGAGCGTCTGCGGGACCCTGGTACTGCTTCTGTGCATGGGCAATCTCGTCTCGGAGAAACTGGTGGAGGTCGCCAAAGTCTGTGGCGTATTCCCAGGCTCTAGCAGAAGTGAGGTTGCGTTCCGGGTACACAGAGATGTTAGGGTGGTAACTCTTGTTTGCAGAGAAGGGGGACACCCCTATAGCGGTGCTCAGAGCGTTGTTGTATGCAAACTCTGCTAATAGAAGGAGTCCAGACCAATTGTCTAACTTATAGTTGCAGTAGATCCGTAGGTACTGCTCAAGCGTCTGATTGGTTTGTTCCATCCATCTATCACCCTCTGGGTAGTAACCAGAGGTGAAGTGGAGGTGGATGTTGAGGGCTTTTCCGAGGGAGCGGAAGAGATGGGAGACAAACTTGGAGCTGCAATTGGAGGTGTGGGTGGAAACTCCGTGTTTGGAGAATACATGTAAGAGGAAGAGCTTCGCTAGCTCTGGGGACGTGATGGTATTGTAGGTGAGGATAAACAGGGACTGTTTAGTGAGCCTGTCTATAACTACTAGAATGGCTGTGAAACCTTTGGAGGACGGGAGTTGCTTGATGAATCCATAGAAATGGAGTTCCAGGGTTTCTCCGGAATTGGTAGTTGCTTCAATGTTCTGTAGGGTTTGTGACGAGGTACCTTGGCTCTGGCACAGGTAGTGCAGGACTTGACGTAGTCCTTAATGGAGGTCCGGAGTTCGGGCCAAGTATATTCTTGTCTGATGAGTTCCAGGGTTTTGTTCTGACCAAAATGTCCCAAAAGGGGATGATCATGCTTATCCCGGAGTACTCGGAGTCGGAGGTCATTGGCATATGGGATGTAGAGGCGGTTATCTCACCAGAGAAAAACTGTCAGGGTCAATAGACCAGTGAGGATTGTTCTGAGGAGGGTTGGCGAGGAGAGCAGCAGAAACCGGGTCGACAGCCTGGGAGGTGAGTATGTCCCTGTGGAGCATCTTGGAGTCCATAATGGAGATGGCTCGGAGTACTGGTTTGGTTAGGGACAAAGCCCGTAAGGATGTGATCAGCTGCTTGGTGGTGAAAACCGGTCAGAAGTTCTGTGGGTTGATCCTGGCGTAGTCACTATCCCCCTCTTTGGGGTAGACGTCCCATGGTCTAGTTAGGGCGTCCGGTTTAGCCCCGAGATGTCCTGTTTGGATCCGGATGATCATGTTGAACTGCAAGAAAAACTCCAACCAATGGGCTTGTCGCCGGGTCAGCAGTTTTGTCGTGGAGAAATATTCCAGGTTCTTGTGGTCAGTAACAACATCAACAGGAGAAGAGGAACCTTTGAGGTAGTGTCTCTTCATTATGAAAGCTTCAAAAATTGTGAGTAGTTCTTTATCATGGGTGTCATAGTTGAGCTCCAGAGCAGTAAGGGTGTGGGAGTGGAAAGCCACTGGGCGGAGTTCTCTGTCCGGAGTTGAGATGGATAGGATGGCAGCAATAGTGTAGTCTGAGGTCTCAGTTTCTACAGTTAGTTGAGCATCTGGAAACCAGTGTGAGAGCACCAGAGCAGTTTTGAAGGCGCTCTTGAGTGCTTTGAAGGATTTTTGACATTTGTCAGAGAAATTCTAAAGTGTGTCCTTCCAAGTGAGGCAGGTGAGCAGAAAAACAATACCGGAGTAGTTGTTGATGAAGTGATGGTAGAAGTTGGCAAACCCCAAGAAAGACTGTACATCCTTAATTTTGTGAGGTTCAGGCCAGTGCCGGATGTTTGGATTTTATTGTTTGACATTGTGAGGCTTTTCAGAGAGAGGAGGAAACTGAGGTATTTGACAGAGTTGGTATGGAAAAAACATTTGTTGGGGTGTGCGTATAGACCATTGGCGCCAAGTACCTCCCGCATATGTGCTACATGCTGCTCGAGGTTGTCGGAGAATCCTAGGACATTGTCAAGGTAGACGATAACACAGACATCAAGAATGTCAGCAAATATTGCATTGACAGCACACTGGAAAGCTGCAGGAACATTTGTGAGCCCAAAAGGCATCACCAGCCACTCGTAAGATCTGTAGCGGGTTTGGAAAGTGGTTTTCCACTCATCTCTGTCTGTGATCTGTACTAGACGGTAGGCATGTCCAGATTGATCTTCAGATTAAACAAACGGTGAGGCGGGAGTTTGTCGGCTTTCACTTTACTGAAGACATTTTTGAAATCATGGTACTCGGAGAGGATGGAGGACAAGTCCACAGTTTCCGGAGCAGTGGAGGAGGCACGGAGCTGGGACAGTTGCATCGTGAACTGGGTGGATCCTTTGAGTTTGCAAGCCCATTGAAAGGCAACTGTGTTTATGAGGGACACATCCAGAGTTGGGGGATTGGGGTTGACGTCAGTTGGGCATTCAAGGTCTCCGGAGAGCGGCATGAAATATTGTTCAGTACCCAGTCAATTGACAGATTGTAGCGGGTGAGCCAATTGCATCCCAGGACTGTGATATAGAAGGTAGTAGGAGTGATTTCCCGCAAGGAAAACGGATGGGTAAGTCTACTGCCTTAGTGATGACAGAGTTTGATGTTCCGTCAAATAAGCGGAGTTGGATTGGAGTAATGGTATAGGGAGAAAGTAGACTAGCATTCACAAAGGTGGTGTCTACAAAACAATGTGACAACCCAGAGTCTACTAGCACTGTAAAGGAAACATTCAAAAGAGGTTTGGAGGGAAGGTTTATATAGAGGGAGTTGGTATCGGAAAGAGCAGACACATTGAGATATATCTCCATTAGTGTACAGTCAGGATCAACATAGTCCTCAACCCGTGCGGAGCACGGAGGACTGCTGACTAGTTTTTTGCCTCAACGGCTTCTGGTTTGCTTTCCAGAACTGCTGCAGTGGCACAAGCTTTTGCGGCGCTGGAGGTGGACTTGGGGCAGGACTTTGCATTATGCCCAGGCTGACCACAGAACAGGCAGAGATTATTGTCAAAATGGTGCTTGCGTTCTTCCAGAGTAAGTTTCCCATCCTTTCCCATCTTATTGGTCAAGTCCGGAGATTTTGGACCATGGGAGTGGTGGGAGTGCAAATGGGAAGTGGAGTTTCCGCAGCTTGCGGGCTTTGTGGTGGACATAGAGGAGGACTGTTTGGAGGAAGATGTGGTATTGGTGCTCAACAAGGATTTGGGCTGGGTGGTAGATTTCCTGCTGACTTTGCTGCATTGTTCCCAATAGCAAGAGTCGATGGTTTGAGCAAGGGTCCATAACTCCGCAAGAGAGTCTGGTTTTCCGATGTGGGAGATTTTGTCTGTGATCCCTGCAGGGAGTCCTTTGTAGAACTGATGTTGGAGTGTGCCCTTACCCTATCCTTGGATTTGGGATGTGAGACAATTGAATTCCACCATATACTTATTTAGACATTGATTCTCGCGCATCTGGAGGTGCTTAATCTGTGACTCCACATCTCTGGTGGGGTAGTGGGGCCCAAAATTGGAGCAGAGCGCAGAGAGGAACTCAGAGTAGTCATGCATCCAGATAGGAATGGCAGCAAGGTTGTCTGGGGTTAGGATATCTGGCTCAAACCAATCTAACACCATTCTCATAAGGAAGGAGATAGCGTAGTTGATCTTTGCTTGGTTAGTTTAGAATGTGCCTGGACGGTTGTTGAAATTCAGTTGGCACTGCATGATGAAGGAGCAGAGTTTTTATGGGTCGGAGCCATCGGAAGTATCTGGCTCCCTAATCTTAGTGCGTGCGGAGGCACTGTTAGGGGTACGTCTGGTGCGTCCAGCTCCATCACCATTGTGTCTAGTACTACGACCATGACTTTGTTCAGCGTTGCCTTCATACTACAAAATTCTGTTGTTATGCTGCTGACATTCTTGTCTAAGCTGGCAACATTGTCTCTGACAAGACGGACTGTCTCCTTTGTAGTCACAATCTCCTCCCTGTGCAACCGGTCAAATCAATTACATTTATCCACCTTATGAGTTAAGCTGTGAAGTTGGTTGTCAACCAAACTGAACCAATTTGTAACTGCATTGAATTGAGCATCTAGATATTCCTCAATACCATTGAGCCTGATGACAAAAGTAAGACCTTTATATATCATTATATAATTGTGGAAACTCTCACTTTAATTTTACATCAGCGTGATCAAGGTGCACATTTGCAAGCACCTCGGCAACGCCGCTAACATTGTTGTTTTTGCCTGAGGCGACCCCGATTTGGATGAGGAGTTTGGTGGCGGAGGTTTGTGAAGACATAGTGAGTACAATATGTACAGAATAATTCAATGTTTTGGTGGTGGGTAAAAATACAAGGCTCACAGGTTTTGTAGCCTAGTCTGAGGATAATAAACAGCAGCTTGCCACAAAGTCTCGGGTTTAAATGCAAGGGAGTCTCACTTTGTACCAAAGACAGTCGTGAGTAATCATGACCATATTGGAGTGAGGAATATTATTCTCAAGCACTGGTGGAGACTTCAATGCTACATTGAGTTGATGGGGAACATGTATGGTGATACTTTCGTAGATTCAGGCCAGACTGGTGTTATTTCCTGGATTAGTACTTTTCTTTACTTCTTGGACTTTTAAGTCTTCTCTGGGATCAAATCAGTCAAATCTCGATAATGGTGGGGCCTAACTCTAGCCAGTCATGTTCTGCGCTTATACTGGCAACTTCAAGTTGCAATCTCACAAGGTGAAGTAGCAGCCATCCGTGTGTGCTATTGTAACTGATGAAATGACCAGCTGATTTCATGTAATCATACAAATCCATGGTAGAGTTATAGCAATATCTCTTATCAATATCATCATTTACTGTAATGATAATCATCCATAGACAGGAAACACAAATTACACAATATATATATTGGTATGGACGTGAAATGATGGTACAATAAGTCCTGAATTGAACCACTAAGCAGTAATAACATTGCAGCATACTTCATGTAGAGATGGGTCTGGAACAAAAAGTGTGTGCCATGCAATCATATGGTTAATCAGACCTAATACTCCAAGTCCTCGGAGTGCTAGTGTATATCTCACATCTTTGAAGGCAAACTAGTTGTCAAAGACCCTGGATATCTTCATCGGCTTGATGACATCCTTGAACAACAGCTATGAGATCTGCTTTGTATATCTGTAGTTGCATCATACATCGCCAATATTGCTGCTCAGCAGCTACCTTCTCATCAAACCATTCATCCTGAGAGGTGTAGGCAAGAGCCAGCAAGGGGGTGATGTCTGCGGGTGGTTTCAAAAATTCTTCCCTTTGTGAACTACAATGAAACTGAAGTATGATATTAGCTTGCAAGATTGTGGATATTGACAGTAAATATACCTGGGAAGCTGACTGTTCAGTTGTAGGTGCAGCTGGAGTTGGTGAATGACTTGTTGATGAGTTTGAATTCAAATTGTCCGTGCCATTGTCAGGGAATTCCATTGATTAAACAGGGACAGTTCCGACTCTGCTGAAAACAGGAGTGCTCCCATCAGATCAGTAAGGATGCTACTACCGCTATCATGAAAAAAACCAGGGCTTGAAGGCAAACAAATTGGTCATTGAGATAAAGTCTTTTGAATTGTAGTAAAGGCTTTCAGTAAACAGGCTCTATCCATTTTTACATAAAACTTACCGCTATAAAATAAACTAGATTTGAACAAAAGTTATTCCACCTATGTTATTGTAACAACCAAGAGTTAGTTACTCTGGTGCACAACTAGAACCAACTATAGAGATGATGATGAGGGAGTGGTTACCCTTTAGACTTCAACAAGTGAGTTGTGAGGATACAACAGAAGGACTCACTGAGGAGTCTCCTTAATCTATTGGTCTATATATACTACTACAGGTTTGTTTGTACATGTGTACTGTACAGTTGATAGAGGCAGTGGCTGATGATGTCATGGGGCCTAGCCCGTGTGACCAGCTCCACTGCGTAAGAGACTTGTATCTAAAATAGAAAGAAAGGCAGTGCAGCGCCAGAAAAAGGAGTTTGAACAAAAGGGAAAGTGCCACATGGCACAATGTGAGAAAACTACAGTAGAAGGTTAAAGAGGAGAATGAAAATTAAAGGTCCAAAAATGTGTTATCGTAACACTACCCCCCCCTCTAGGGCTCAACTTTTAGGTGAGACCAGATACCGGAGGTGGTAGTTAGATTTTCGGGCATAGGTTGAAAAAGGGAATTAAAAGTTTAGAATCCATGCCTCTAAGCTTCCTAGGAGCCGAGGGATTCTTAAAGTAAAGTTTGCAAACAGCATTGCAGAAATTGTTCAGATGGGCTTCTGGTTCCCACATTCTGTCCTTGTCTCCATAACCCTTCCATAGGACTAGGAACTCTACTTTTCCATGCTTCAAGTGTGCATCCACCACTCGTTCAACTTCGAACTCTTCTTCACCTTCCTGGGTGACTACAACCAGTCTGGGCCGGTCTACGCGCTGTCCCGGCAGCAGCCCTTTGTAGGGTTTCACACGGCTAATATTGACTGTGGGTACTACCCTCATTCGTTTTGGGAGTTCCAACTCCACCACATTGGGTTTGACTTCCTTAATCCGGTATGGGCCAATCCACTTTTCAGTCAGTTTTCTAGACTGCCAATCTTTTAACCTTAAGTGGTTAGTATCTAACCAGACGAGGTCGCTGACCTTGTAGTCAGGGGCCTTAGAGCGTCTACACTCTGCCCTGTCTTTCATCTGCTCTGCAGTTTTAAATAGCGCCTTGCACATTTTGTCCAAGACAGACTTCATGTCTTTGGCCATATTCCCAGCAGCCTCATTCTTGCTTTTACCAGGTTCTACACCCATTCTGGGGAGGTACAATCTCGTTACCTCAAATGGTGCCTTTCCTGTAGCCGACGACTGTTTGATATTGTAAGAGAACTGGGCTATTTTTAGCCACTTGGCCCAATCTGTCTGCCTGTCATTAATAAATATCCGGAGATATTTTTTCAACTCCTGGTTGAGTCTCTCCGTTTGTCGATCAGTCTGCGGATGGAACACCGTTGATAACTTAGGTTTGATGCCCAGCATCCGGCATAACTCTTTTGTAAATTTGCTAGCAAATTGTGGCCCTCTATCGGAGATAACCATTTCTGGTAACCCATGGATAGACCATACAAAATCTTTAAATAAATCTGCCATACCAGCGGCGGTAATGGTTTTGTTGGTGGGAATGAATACTACTTCTTTGGAGAAGCAATCTACTACCACCATTACTGAATTATACCCATTTGACTCAGGCAGATCCGTTGTGAAATCAACCGGTATATCCTGCCAGGGACCAGCTGGTATCGGATTCAGCATAAGTTTACCGGCTGGCGGTTGATGAGAATTCTTAGCCATGGCACATCTCAGACAGGATTTTACCTATTCCTGTACTTATTTGACCATGCCAGGCCACATATAGTTTCTGGAGATCAACTCCATTGTTTGTTGCCACCCAGGGTGCCCAGCCACTGGAGTGTCATGATGTCCATCTATTGCCTTGATTCTTGCGGACTCAGGCACATAGATTTTGTCTTTAAAATGGAAGAGCCCGTCTTCCCATAAATTCCCATAAATAGTTTTCATTGCCATCAAGGCGCGCCTTCTCTCCTGAGGAGATGTCTTTCTTGAAGACTTCCAGAAGATCAGAATCCTGCCCAATTCTAACATTGGCAACCCTTGATTGGTCTATCAGGGTAACACCTTTGTTGTCATCTTTGATGCCGTTGGCATGATCCTCTCTTCTGGACAAAGTGTCCGCTTTCCCTATAGAGCTTCCAGGCTTATGAATTAATTTATAATTAAACCTTGACAAGTATACCGCATAGCAGGCCTGTCTTCGGTTCAAGTCTCGGGCCGTCATAAAATACTCTAGATTCTTATGATCGGTCCAAATTTCAAATTGGTGTCTAGCACCTTCTAAGTAGTGCCGCCAGTGCTCTAAGGCTCTAATGATGGCTAGCATCTCTTTGTCGTAAATTTGATAGTTGCACTCTGTAGGCGACAAACTATGTGATAAATAGGCACAAGGCCTCCAAAGATTGTCAGTGCATTTAATTGACAAAACAGCCCAACCTGATCTATGAAGATTCTGTTAGCACCTGAATCAAGCAGTGCGCTGGTTGGGTGTACTATGCCCCGGGCAAGGTTTTCCACACCAACGTCTAAAAGGATCTCCTTTTGGAATAAATATGTGTGCATCAACACACGCCTTGGGATTCCGGGAAAGGGTGGCTCCAACGAAGAAGAAGAAGTGTTGAAAGGTAAATGTTTTTCTATTTTATTTTTGCCAGAATCAAGCACCCTAGTGTTTGTCTCGCCGGGGCCACGCTCCAAAGGAGATGCTGGTGCAGCGGTAGTATTATAAATATCACAGTCACAATGCTTCATACAGGTACAGGTTTCAGATAACAAAGCAGGGGCCACCTTGTTGTGGTTTACTTTATTGTTTTGTGGAGCGAAGGCACCCAAGTGACCTAAGCTCCGAACTCTGTTCCCTGAACCTTTATCTCAGCAACTTGCTGGTCATAAAAAAAGGCCCGGATCTCGTTGTATGAACGACCAGCCAGAGTCTGGAGCCAATCATCCAGTTTCTCTGTTTCTAGTTGGCGCGCCTGGCGCCCTTAGTTATTTTTTTGTTGGGCAGCCTGCGCCCTGTTTCTGCAATCTTGGGACATGTGTCCCTCTTGGCCGCAATTATAGCAGTTCCCTTTGAATCTGCGCATCTGTCCGCCCTGGACCGCGCCAATATCCATAGGGGCTCCCTGCCCTGGTTACAGCCCAAACGGCTCGAACCCGTGAGAGTGATTATGGTGGTTTGATGACCCAGGGCGCCTCTGGGAAACATTGTTTTTGGTGGTGGACCCGCCACTGAATTGCATTCTATGGCCCTACCAATTTTTCGAACCTCCTCAGCAGCTGCTGCAAAGTTCTCGCTCCGCATATCTTGTATGTAGAGCTGTCGGGCAATGGCCGGTGATACATTGCGCTCCAACAACTCCACTGCATGTTCATTCCCTAGACCCCCTTGGATGGAGAGGGCCATGAACCGGGTAACAAAGTCATCCGTCCTCATGTTTCCTTGTTTGAAGGTACGGATTTGCTGACACGCCCAGTCACGCTCAGCTTGGGGTATGAAGTATTTTTTGATCTCGACTTTGAGATCATCCCAGGTAGGCCACACTCCCGCTGTGTAGCACTCCTGCATCCTTACTTGGGCGTATCGACCCGCCACAGGTCCTTTCAGTCTTGACAGCACAGCCATTGCTATTTCAAAATTATCAGTGAACGCATCCCAGTTCGCTTTGATCCAAATTTGGAGCTTGATCCACCATTCGGCAAATTGAGCCCTATCTCCTTCGAAAGCGCCAGGGTCAGTGACAATCTCGACTTTCTTGTTGAACTTTCGCTCAACCGTAGGTTCCGCTGCTGGGGCAGCCTGAATCTGCGCACGCATGTTGTGCAGCAGACTGTTCATATCCAGTTGCAACAACATGTTGACTTATTCTCTTTGATAATGTAAAAAAAAGGTAACTGGGGGTCCCTGCTTGCTATCTGTGGATCAACCTCTTCCCAGCTGAATATCGGATCTCAATCTCCGACTACCCACACTATAGTATTGGAGGGGTATATAAAAAGTATTTGTAATAAACCCTGGTCCGGACGGTTGTCAGGGGGTGGTCCGCTTGTTAAGCTGTCAACCCTTCTCCAGACTGGCGGAGGCAAGTGCCCAGCCTGGTCAGTGTTACGATAACACAATTTTCGGACCTTTCCTTCATATTCATTCTCTGCTTTAACCTTGTATACTTTAGCTTTCACACATAGTGCCACACGGCACTTCCCCTTTTGTTCAAACTCCTCTTTCTCGCGCCACGTTGCCTTCTTCTTATTTTTAGATAAACTCTCTCACACAGTGGAGCTGGTCATGCGGGCTAGGCCCCATGATATCATCAGCCACTGACTTTATCAACTGTACAGTACATAAGTACAAACACTCTGTATTAGTATATATACCCCAATAGCTCCAGGAGACTCCTCAGCAAGTCCTCCTGTTGTAAACCAACAAACTCTCTGCAGCCTAAGGGGTAACCACTCCCCATTCACTACCCTTATAGTGTGTTCTTGTGTGCGCCAGAGTAACCAACTCTTGGTTGTTACAGGTCAGAGGTATCCAAAGAAGAAGTTTTGTGTTCTAAGTTTAATCAACAGTAGTGTGCACACTATTGTTGAGCTACAGTACTCCCCTTAACGCTGGGGGCCGTGTATCAAAGGTATTGTTTCTTCTCCCAAAGCACTATAAGGCCATCGCAAAGAGCGCACCTATCTGCTATGCGGGATATTCCCAAACAATAACCAAATCTCCTTCACCCTGGAGTCCGGGTGCCCAGTGGGACTTTTTGCACAACATGCGAGAGAGTAGAAGAGCGAGTCCTAATGTAACAACCAAGAGTTAGTTACTCTGGCACACACAGGAACACACTATAAAGGTGGTGATGAGGGAGTGGTTACCCCTTGAGCTGCAGAGAGTTTGTTGGTATACAACAGGAGGACTCGCTGAGGAGTCTCCTTGATCTATTGGGGTATTTATACTAATACAGAGTGTTTGTATCTATATACTGTACAGTTGATAAAAGCAGTGGCTGATGATGTCAGAGGGCGCAGCCTGTGTGATCAGCTCCACTGCATGAGAGACTTTGTGTCTAAAAGAAGAATAAAGGCAGCATCACGTGAGAAAGTGGAGTTAGAACGAAAAAGGAAAGTGCGGCATGGCACGGAGTGTGAACTATAGTAAAAGGTTAAGGCGGAGAATGAAAATTAAAGGAAAGGTCCGAAAATTGTATTATTGTAACAAAAACCCTCCTAGAGGTTTTTTCAGCTCGAAAAAAAAAGTAGTTATCGCATTCATCAGAAAAATGGGGAGACCCTTGCATTACCAGGCAGAGTTGACACGTGGACATCAAAGTGGCTGCAGTTTAGCGTGGCTTAACAGTGACTATCAAGGTTAATCATGACAAGTCAAAAAAACACCTCATTTATGTAAGGACCATTTGATTATTTTCTTATGTTCTCTATGTTTTGGTTCTCAAACACTTTTCCCATCACACCTCTAGCTCTAGGGCTAGAGGTATTACTTCTTATAGCCCTCACAGGCTTTCTCAACCATCACTACCACTTTATATCACAGATCAGAGACTGGGTATCACTCCCAGCTAGCCAGCACAATGGGTAGGGACTGGTAGTAGGCATCTCACCAACCAGCTCCAAGCCCCATCAGTGCCTGGATATACTAATAGAAGCTATAGTCAGGATCGTACCTCATCATGAGGATACGGTTCCTGAATATGCGTGACAACACCTATTATTAGTACAACTCTCTCACCTGCTGATTAATCATTCAAAGTCATATGAATAGTTATTCCTTTTTCTTATTGGTTGATTTATTCCTCAGACTATTTTTTGTTTATCCCTTTCTCGATCTGAGGGACGGACGGTTAGCTATATAAACCCTACACATCTCATGTATAGTTCTTTAGCTTTCTATTACTTGATTTACCCGCTTTACTCCTCAACCGAAATCCTTGAGTTTACTCCCACGTCCTCTACTTGCTATATTTACTAGCATCTGTTGACCTCAAGCTCATTGAACCTCTTACACCCTGCAAGTGCAGTGGGAGATGGGTATTGATTTTGTTATAGTTTAACATTACCTCACAATTTATAGCGGCATGCTAGACTGTTGATGTCTACTCAGTCAGCAACACAACAGTTACAATCAGTATCCATCATAGTGTTCCAGGCAGGTATATGGCTTACAATCACATAACATGTTGATAAGTGCTTGTTACGGTCATATCATTCAGAGACAGTATGGTACCCAAGGTAGACAAACTGATCAATACTCCCAGTCAGATGCTATTTAGTGAAAAACATTCAATATCATTATCAGACTTATTAATATATATGAATATTTGATCAGATCCTCAATCTAGTCCAATGGATGTTGATATCAGATTATACATTATTTAATCATACTCCTCTTTTCAGGTTTTAGCACTACACTTCCAGGTCGGATGCGTGACAACTTAGCATTGCCATTGACAGCCTGCTAGCAAATGATATTCAGTGTCACGGTATCTACCACCTCCTTTGGGCCTACCATTCCACCCCAGGCCCTGCCAGTAACTCGGACTCGGAACTTAAACAGTCCCTGAAGTTCATGTTGAATATCCAAGTTGTTGATTGAGAACTTGAATAGTTACTTAGAGCTAGCTGCCATTAAGACCGTCACCTGTGTCACATAGGTCTTGCGAACCATAGTGAATAACCCCAGCACTGGCTCGGATGCCCCCATCCGTTTTTCCTCACACCGCTAACATTAGTACTACGCTCTGTTTGTATGTGCTTCTGAGTCAAGTTAGTACTAGTAGCACTAGTAACTCTATTCTTGCACCGTGATCATGACTATAATAAGCACGTGAACAGCACAAGCAGCATTAGAGCAATGCTGGCTGGGTGAATCAGATATAGGATCGCCATAGATCAAAGTTTGTCTTACCATTTGGTGATGTTCAAGTTGGTATTGTTGTTCACCAGAATTCTGTGCACAGGTTTGTGGTAGTTGCTTGGAATCAAACACCTCCAATGGTACAAAGTACGTGGTCTTTCAGGCTATTGGCTCTGAGAACAGCGAGAAAGAGTAGGTGCTCTTCAGGGACAGACAGTCTCTGTATAGGAAAGTGTTTCTTCAATTGATCTCTAGCAATGTTATTTCATCATGACTGAAGCTGGTGATAGGAATTGAAGTCACTGGTAATACTAGAGTTGCATCCCTTGATTTGAAAATGCACAGCTCAATGCCACTTGTCATGGCTATAGTATACCTGTTGGTCCATTTAATGCTCCTGTGCAGAGTAGACATAGACAAAGCACTCCCAAGGGTTTCCGTAGTCATGTCAAGGGGACTCAAGCTGCTAATACCATAGTTCAGCCTTCCTCTTGGATCTTTAGGATTTATATGCTTCCAACAGCAGTGTGTCCAATTGTTACAGGCAAAGTAGCACTAATTTATTTATTCTGGTGTAAGGTCTTACATTTTTTTTTGCAAATTGGAGATGAGATTGATGCTAAGTTGCAGCTGCAGGGACTAGTTCTCACCAAATATCCATCTCCCTCTTCTGTCTGTGAATACTCAACAGAAGGATGGGCATTTTTAGTCCCTGGTAATAACATTAAGGGTGGCCAAATCCATAGGCCACTTGATTATCCTAGTCACCTTATTACACTATCACTTATAGAAACTGAATGTGCAGGGAAAATAGAGAATCCAAGTGGCTCTGAGCAAGTCATATCATGCTGTATGTAGCAAGTCTTGCTGTAACTAATCTTTGCTGATCTTTTATATGTTGTGCCCATATTGTGCATTAGGTCCTACTATTGTAAATGTCAGTCACAGCACAGCTTGACACCACCAAGGGATTTCTCCAGGTGTCCATTATTGTTTTGCTAGCAGAGTGATGGACAAATTCATATTGTCCATGCTCCTGGAAGAATCCTCTTTTCTGACTTGTTTTCATTCCTGCCCTATTAATATACTGGCATCACAGCAAAATGAATTACTTCCGAGTCCTCAGCATGCATTAGATTTATTGTTCAACATGCATGTGACCACTGCTGGATCATCCACTTCTTCACAATTCTGTTTATCATCTTCACAGCCATGGCTTCATCTTGACACAACTGAGTCCATCAGTGCTTTAATCTTTGGCGGATCTACTTCTATTAATGCAACAAGTCCCATGTCAGGACACGCAGATTTTTTTTCAGCTCACTCTCTCTTAGAGTTGTAAGTGCAAACACATCAATGAATAACTTAAGTTCTATACAAATGAATGATGGTCATTCTTCTGCTGTTATATTTTCATTTTTTTCTGGCATTATATCAAAAAATTAACTGGTACTTCTTAGATTTCTTCTCATATACATATATTAACTTTGTTGTCACTTGTCTATCTCGCTTAAGAGCTACTAGGCCCAGATAATGCCTTATTGCCACCAGCTGCATCATTAGATGTTCTACCCCAAATTCCTCTTCCATCATTCACAGGCCCATCACAAATATCCAGCCCTTCATTATTGAAGAAGTCTATGTTGATAGAAAACAAGTACCTCCCCTCCTCTCCTCTATTGATGAAGAGCGTCCCAGGATTAAGGCCATCAAAAGTTCTAATAAACTTGGCATCAAAGACGTTGGTGATGTATTCTCAAGTGTCAACAGTCAGAGATGCATTGAAATTGTTGCAGGCTTTATCCATCTGCATTTCCAGATCCTCATGAGATAATAAGCCACTCAAGTAGTCAAAGAATTGATAATATACAAAGGGTTTGATAGGTTTGTTGCCTTCAAGAAGTGGTTCATTACAAATGTCAGAATTGGGCTGCGGTTTGTTTGTGCATGTTGCAAGATATTGCTTTGTTGTTGATCCCAAGCGGATACATAAAAGGCTCATAGGTACAATCATATCAAGGACATACTGCATATGTGGTGGTCCAACCATCTAGACATTATGATACACAATTTTTGGACCTTCAAATTTCATTCTCCACTTTAACTTTCTTTCATAGTTTTCACACACTGTGCCATGCAGCACTTTCCATTTTGTTCAAACTCCTCTTTCTCATGCTATGCTACATTTTTATTATTCTGAAATACAAGTCTCTCACACAGTGGAGCTGATCACACGGGCTGTGCCCTATAACATTATCAGCCACTGCCTTTCATGAAATGTATAGTACACATGTACAATAGTCTGTAGTAGTATAAATACCCTAATAGATCAAGGAGACTCTTCAGCGAGTCCTCTTGTTTTTTACCCACAACACACTCGGTCCTACCTTAAGGGAGATTATTTTCTCCTCTACTCACCACTCTTTGCCTGTCCTTGTTGTGTGCCAGAGTATACAAACTTTGGTTGTTACACTAAATTAAATTGCAACAATGCAATATCAATGCTTGATGGAATTTAATATAGGTTTAAGTCTGTGTTGTATCCAGATAACTGTCTGCATTTTTCCAAGCTGTTTGCAAAACAAGGTGTAGTATGCCCAGAAGTAGGTTTCCAGCTCGCTGAGCAGTACCCATAAAAATGCTGCATACCGCAGCCAAGAAAATTGTTACTTCAATTAGTTCAGAGCAACAATCAATGGCATGCTCATAGTGATGCCCTGAGTAAAATTTTAGTTAAGTCAAATGAGAGGATACTGACTATTTATCTCACTGTAATCGTAAAGAAGAGGATTCTTATTAGCGTGCCCAATAATTATTTGCACTTCAGATAATTGACCTTCTAATAAAACCAATTCTTTGTTAATCTCCTGCTTCAACAGCTTAAATGAGTCCACATCACGCTTCACTTGTTCAAAGGATTTACACAGGCCACTCAGCTGGACTTCAACATCAGAGACAACTTCATACAAAGGATGGTCCACAAGCATCCGAGTCAGATCCAGCGCACGAGACCAAACAATGTGTAAAGTTTTTTGGGCCAACTGTGTCAATCTGTTCCTTTCTCTCTTGGTATTTCTCTTATATGGTACAATCAATGACAGTGTCTGGACTTGATTGTTGAGCTGGGAAAGTGTGTTGGGTATAGGCTGTGGTTCATTTGGCAGGATTTGATTCCCAGAACCAAAAAGACTGTTTAAAACTACCCATAATATCACTGATGGCTTCAAAGTAGTGAGGAGAGCCCAAGAACAGGTCAGTATCAAGACTGGCTTGAATGTGAGTGCAACTACTCCATAGGTGTGGTGTTTCTTATATAGGTATATACAATATCATTTGCGCTGCGCAGTTCACTCAAACATGGTCTATCCTAACTTGTCACTTGATATGGTTGCCACAATGAAATTCCTGGTATTTATCACGCATCTGTTCCCAATGTTATTTGCATTTGACTGGCAGTGGTGGTTTTGCAGTTTCCTCTCCATGTTTGCTCAAGGGCTTTTGTTGGACAGACAACATTTCTTTTATACCTCCAGTTAATTATTCACTCATAAACAATTCTGTTGTCTCCTTGATGTTCTCCAACATCAAGGATCTCGTGAGTTTTTTTTTAGTAACAGAAGAACCCCCTCTAATTCTATCAGTGTACTCTCCTTGATAGGCTCACACGTGGTAAAACGGTAGTTATACACAATTGTGGTTTGCGGAGTTTCTTCAAGTGTCACATCAATCTGTCCATTCTGGGCAACACCAAATTGCATCAAGCTATCACTATTATTTGTCAGATGTCACTGCTGAGATGTACACAGGTTGAATTGAGTGGATCAGATATAATGGCCCCAACCTTGTCTTCACTAATTCCACCACCATTCAACAATGCACTCTCCACCACTTTTGTCATTCACCAAAGAACCCACCACAACCTGAGAGCCCTCCTGCTTGCTGCACCAACCATCACAAACTTGTTACGATAGTGGCAAAATTTGTCACCTTGATAAGTCAAGGTTTGAGCAGGAACGTACCTTGGCAGCACGTAATCTGACAGCACAGTATCCCACTCTCTCATATTTACAACAGAATTGCACTTAACTCCAACCCTCATCACCAGTAAATCTCCGAGAAACATGGCACCACAGTCCAGATGTAAAACAGACATGTTTATTGGAAGATTATAGTGCTGTTTAAAGTAAACATTGAAGTGATAAAGGTTCCACCCTTTGTAAACATGCACCATGCAGTCATGAATGTATGGCTACACTGTTGTATTTCCGAGCAAAGATTTGGCATAAGGGAATCTGCTCTGTCTGGCTATACCTGCCAAACGAGTTTTTGTCTTAGTAAGGCAAGGTTTACAATCCGGAGCAGAGTAAAGCCAACAGTGGAGCCTAATTTCAGATGTCTGCAATATGTCAGTGAGGTGTTCTCTAGTTAAGCCAATGGCATACATACATTTTTCATTGGAGGAAAAAACAAACAACGGTTAGGCACATTGGTAAGCAATAGTCAGTGTTGGAGGTGGGTTGCTGAGGCCAGAGGGAAAAAGAGATGACTGCATTTGAGTGTTTGTGAATATTATGTTGATCCGTCCTTGTGACTGATAATCACCATTCTACATCAAAATCAGCCCAACTTTAATTGTGTTACATGGTGTTGTGTCGTCTTTCTTAGCCCACTGGATCTCCAGGTCCTACTGATTGTCTAGTGAGATCATTATTTTTGTGTCTCTTATTGTGTATAGCATCCTTGCATGTCTCCACCCTCAACGGATATGGGTTTTTGTACTATCAGTGAGACAATAGTTTTTGTAGTAGATCCTGAAGACAACAGCTTTTTGTGCACTTTTATTACAGATACAATGGCCTTGATACCGCCTCTGAGGTTACTGTGATGTAAAACCCTGTTCCTTTCTATTGCTAAAAACTGCTTCTGTGAGCCACATGGACACCAATATGTATCCCATGTTTGATGGCGCATATGAAAATAACCCGGAAGGAAGTAATCACTCAACGGCTGATATTCCAAACCTGGATATGGGAGTGACAACAACTGATATATCTGTAGGAAAATCAGGTTAGAGACTCCCTTTCACAAGCTATGATGTGTGACAACTCTGATAAAGAAGAAGAAGAGGTCCGAGACGGCTTGTTTGCGCTACCACAGGTGAGTCATATTTGATATGAGTGATTTAGATTTAACCAAATATATTCAGTCTTGGGCTCATCCGGAGGTCATGTGATTAGTGGACAATAATTGCTATGAAGCTTCCTTGAAAAGATCTGTGCCCTATACTATGCAGTCACAGCTTCCGATATACTCGAGCTTGTTCATATATGACATTACTCCTCTAATAGCTACCTAGCAGGCTACACCCACAATGCTGGAGCCCCAGAGACAAGCTACAAGAGAGCGTACTTTGAGGTTGATGAATCCGATATTCTCTGCGGGCATTTGCACAAAGTAGAGAATCAGAAACAGAGAGAGAGGATTTACATGTCATCAAAAGTGAGTGTGATTGTAATTGATTTGTGGTCCAAGATATTATGGCATTAATTTGTGTTCTAGCTTTGGCGGTGCATGCAGAGTGCACAAGCCAACCAAACAGAAATGGCTAGAGTCAAAGCCAGCATTGCTGCTGCATTGAAGGAACAGAAAAACAGGTATATGAGGAGAGAAGGGCAGGAAAAGATAAGATTTGAAGAGCTCCTGAGTCAAAGTATAGCACAAGCCAAAGCCAAGAAGACAGCTCAGCAGGGGGATTGGAAGAAAGAAATGGCAGCTCAATATTCTGAAGCATGGCAAGAAAAGGAGGAGACAAATAGAAAGGAAGCTGAAGCAAGAGCAGAGCGTGAGGAACAGCTGAGATTGTGACTAGAGCGGATGGAGACGGAGAAGGCTTGTGAAATGGCTGCCTTGATGCAGAAACTAGAGAATACTGCCAAGGAAAATGAGGTAAGTTTGCAGCTCAGTTGGTTGGAGCACTGCCATATATAGGCAGGCAGAGGTCCTGGGTCTAATCCCCGACTGGTCCACTTTGCTTTTATGCACTCCAAGAAGACTTGAAGTTTGACATGAACAGTGATACATCATTTGAGTGGGATTGCAAAATATTCCAGTACCTGCTGGAAGACTTTAAACAAGAGGCAATAGAATGGAGGCTCCCTGATGCTCCAAACAGCTATCTGGAGGATATTGTAGTAGAGAAGTTTTGTAGGATAAAACCATATTAGAAAGCGGCCCAGAGGCAAATCAATGCAGAGGATGAGCTTGAATTGTGGAACAACATCAAGAATAGACTGATCAATAAACAAGAGGATAGATTGATGCAGGCAAGAAAGAGGGAGAGAAGAAGCAATGTAAGCAACATGCCACTACTTATGGTGAATTACTTACTGAACATGAACAGGAATTTGAGCATAGAAAAAGGGCTCTGGAAGTGGTGATTGAGATGAAGGCACAGAATGGGGCACAAGATATTGCCATTTGGGAATGGCTACAAGATTCATTGAGCATTTGGGTGAAGATGACATGAGCTCAGAAGAAAGCGATGTGGACAGAGATGACGAGGGAATAGTGCAAAAGGTGTATCAAGTGAAGGTGATGTTTTGGTGGAAAGATATCGCAAAAGAGCTGGGTATAATCAACAAGACCAGGCTACAAGACAACAACCTGTACTCCCAAATAGGTTCCAAGCCTGCTAGGAGAGCACAAAGTGATAAAAATACCCTATCAAAGTGGGGCCCAGTGTGCGAGCCTCCTAGGGTTTTCTATGACAGTGATTGGTATGACAATCAGAGTGTCAGCTACCGCAAGTTAACACTAAAATTTTTGAAGGATAAATTCAGATGGTTTGAGGTTAATGAACAGGGGGTGACTTGTATGTAGGGGCATAACATACTAGTAAGCTCGTAGAATCTGTAGTGTTGAGTATAGACAATAACTACTTCATGGAGCTGAAAGATAGTACAATTGGGTTGTAAAAACCTCCCAATTGCAGGTGGATGTTGGTGGTGATGAATGTGAGTGAGGAGGGTTGAGGCAGATCGGACTCGGAGAATTGCCTGCATTGACCGCTAAAATGGTACAGACTGACCAGGTAAGAGTGTACAACTGGGATGTAAAATGCCCCAGTCATAGTACCAAGAACTTCGAGTGTGTACAACTGGGAGGTAAAAACCCCTCAGTTGCAGCACTGAATTGGAATATTGGCCAGTGGCCAATAGAGCAATAGGGTACTTGAGTTGGAGTTTGACATGGCATTTATGGTCACATGACCAAGTCACACTCGCCCACCTCTAGTTATATTCTGCCACTCAGATGCCAGTTCTACCTTCACCCTGTACCACCACCATCCTCAGTGTCTGGCATTTTTACACCTCAGACATATTTGAGACAGATGATCAAACATACCAAGTCTCTCTAGTCTACATCTGTGGTGTTCATACATCACAGACACCCTTGGAAGAACAATATTACCAGTGCCACTATGTGGTTGAGGAGCTCCATAAAAACAGTGATTCCCAACCACAACATCAGCCGTATCCACCCCATAAATTCAATCATCTAGTCCCAGCACGTGTAAGCATAAACTTGTGCTATCTATATTGGCTATTTTTTTTACTGTCGAAATTAATTGCAGATGTCAAAGTCAACGGGTCAGTACTTTGTCCATCTGGACAATACTCTCCAGGTGTTCACATCGCCTAATGCAGATTCTCTCTCCTATATTCCATCTGAAGAAGATGTTCTTAGGTTTAGCATGCACCCTTGTCAAACACTTGTTCCACGTTGGGCTTCAGGCACTTACTCTTACACCGGGTACACACCCATCAAAATCAAACTCACTGGCCCACTTCTCAGCTGCCTCATTCTCCCCTCCAAAATTCCAATAGAAAAAATTGACGGCCAGTGCTTCCTTACAAAAAACTTCTGTGCTTCATGGCTAAGATTTGAAGATGGCCTCTCTCAAGCAGCTACAGCCAATTCTTTGGCCCCTTAATTGCAAGACATATCCTTTCCTCAAAAGATTTGGCTATCTCCGAGGGCATGCAAATAAAGCCAAGGCTTCCCAAGCTGCCTTGGTTTCTTGTTTTGCTTTCTTTCCCTTATTTGGGCTGTGCTCTTTTGTTCTGGCATTGTTTAGCCGAGGCAAACACATAGAAGACCCACACCCTCCATGGGCTTGCGTGCTGCAGGACTCTTGTGGTGTCCATCCCAAATGGGTCAAAAATCTGCGCGCATCAGTTGTGGGTGACTTTTCCAAAACCATCAAATGGTGTGGTGTGTTTATGCAAGCTTCACAACCCTATGGCTGGATTGACATGGTCTCTACCGCAGTAAATGCCGGTATTCCAATATGGTTCTGCTATGGAATATACGGCCAGTCTCAATTACACCCCTCCAACATGATGGCTCCCATTCTCAAGTACTTCCCTTCTTCTCGTGCCGTGAATGCAGCAAAGGCTGATAAGGAGAGAATTGAGCAATCACAACGCAAGATGGAAGCCGTGTATACTGCATGCTACAACTATCCTGCAGATGTATACAAAGGCGATGAATTTTTGGAATTTCAAGTTGAAAATAGAAGCAAACAGAGGCCTGGAGAACATTGGAGATATTTTATGGCCTGAAGGAATGACAAAAATGCTATGCTGCGTGCCCGTGAATCTAGCCGCAATTGGTATCTGCAAATTGATATAGAGAAAAAAATGGCTGGCTTTCCAAAACCAGAGACGTGGGAGTGTCACTTTTATACGTGGAGTGTGGAGCATGATTGTGGGAGTTACTGGGTACAGCGGTGTATGCCATTTGATGTGATTCATCAGCATTGGCTGGAGATTCCGGATCAACACAAATATTACAACAGTTTCTCCCATTGCTGGGATATATGCCCAGACTTTGTGGTGAATCAGGGGCTAGAGGATGCAATCTTGGCTGAAGGTCCAATAGAGCAACTCAGAGGGCAGGTCCCCATATCATCTAAATGTTGTGACCAGATCAGCGCCTCTCTTTGTGAAGACCTGTTGCCAACTCCTGGATGCCAGGTGGCCCTGGGGCGTAGTGTACCTTCACCAGAAGATATCCTGCAATACCGCTACAGCTTCATGCCAAAAGATGATTTCTCAGTTAGTGATGACCAGGGGATTAATGTGGTGAAGTGGAAAGATGTAGGAGGTATATTGGGAGGAGATATTGGGTCTGGCATGGAGCCCCCAGGCTGGGCCGTCTCTGCATGCTATTTCACATTATCATATCTGTGTAACAACCAAGATATACTCTGGCGCACACAGGAACAACACTATAAAGAAGATGATGAGGGAGTGGTTACCCCTTAGAATTCAGAGAGTTAGTTGTGCTAGACAACAGGAGGACTCGCTGAGGAGTCTCCTGGATCTATTGGAGTTTATATACTACTACAGGGTTGTTTGTACATGTGTACTATACAGTTGATAGAGACAGTGGCTGATGATATCATGGGGCCTAGCCCGCATGGCCAGCTCCACTGTGTGAGAGAGTTGTGTCCAAAATAAGAAGAAAGGCAACGCGGCGCGAGAAAGGGGAAGTGCCGCCTGGCACCATGTGTGAAAGCTATAGTACAAGATTAAAGCAGAGAATAAAAGTAAAGGGAAAGTCCGAAAATTGTGTTATGTAACAATCTGTCTCTTCCTCAATACAAAATGGCTAAGGACGTCTTGCCACCTATTTGGGACATGGATACTTGTTCCCCTGACCACATCCGAGACCATGAATTCCCTTTCACAATCACTCCCATTTGTTTTGATGGTAATTTCAAAGATTGTTACTTATTTGGTCCTCACAACACAAACACATCTCCAGGATGGAAGATTTGTGGAAGCAACTCTACAGCCATCATGGAGTGTGTAAGGCACAGCTTTGGGCCCAGTTTGGAAGATATCACATTACAGCTTGTAGCAAGAGGGATACCATTCAACACTCTTTTACAAGTCAAAACACCTCCCGCTGCCGTAGTGACTCATTGTGTCACTCTAGGATATTGTAAGGAGGATTATAGACCAGATATTATTGATTACACCTGCTATGAGAATGTTTGCAACAAGCTTCTGCTTGGTAGTTGTGAACTTGTCACTTTGCTACAAGGTGGACTTGCATGGTGTTTTGCAGTTGATATTCCAACCCCGGAAGCGTCCTATCAGGACCCTCAAGTGATCCCGGGGAACCAAAGCAAGTCTTTTGGACTTCAGACAGCCGTTTTTTCATTGATGATTGTCTATCCCAGAATGAGCTGGATCTTATTTCAGTGATATATAATGTATACACAGGAAATGGCCCCCAGACATTGCAATCTTCATTGTGGCCAAAGAATTCAACTTTCATGGGGGAAGGTCTCAATCATGGCTTTTGGTCGTCCTCTGCTGAGAAATGGTTTTGTGCACGCTTAGATCACATCACCAACAATACTGCTGATTTAAGGGCTGTAAAGACATGGACAAACAGTATGGTTATGAACAGGAGATCTACTAAGGTCTTTGAGTGTAGTGACAAATTAGCCCACGGAGTTGTCTTGTTGTGGTTTTAAATCTTACTTAAATATCTATGCCTATGGTGTTGTATGCCAAATATGTGTTGAAAATTGTGTTTCTTGCTTGTCAGTGTATTACTAGATCAAGGTTGCCCTTTGTATGAGCTTTTGTTTTTGTTGCGAGTGATATCGTATCTTGCTTGTCAGTGTATTACTAGATCGAGGTTGCCCTTTGTATGAGCTTTGGTTATTGTTACGAGTGATATAATATAACCATGTCTAATTCCTCGAAACACCTATCTCTTATCTGAATCTATTGAGCACACTTTGACACATATTTCTCAGGCATTAAATTCTACAGCAGTTCAGGTAGGAGTATCTATCTGTCGTATGGAGCGATTGTAGGGCAACAGATACCCAGTGAGCGAACAACTATTGGCCGATGATTGGGTGACAAGTGGGCAATGCATTTCAAGTGTCTCAAAATATCTCATTTTGGCCCTTCCTTGAACGGCCATTAAAATACCTATTTTTCCACTATTGGAAAATAGGATAAAAAATGAGATATTTTGGTTTTGCGGTTATATTCGTTAAAATATCAAATTTTGTAGAGCTAGAAAACTTTCCATCAAATTTCAAACAATTTGAAGTGATTTCACATTGACTAAATTAAATATTCTGACTGCTCTTTAATAATGATGGAATTTCCATGAAAATTTGATGTTTTGATTAGTATTTTGATGTGGCTCTACATTCATTCTTTCATATAATCAAAATGCTGATGCAAAATTCAATGTTTCGTTTGTAATTTTCTATGTTATTTTGGGACAACAAAATTCTCCTTGCTGTGAAGCGCCAAGTTAATATATGCTGACTGACCTGAGAAGTTGACAATACCAACCTTCAAAAGCCATAGACGCGAGCTAGTGGCAATAAAATCCAGTAACATCCCACATAGGCCCCATCCCCATATTCAATCTGGAGGCCTTATCCCTCAGGGTCTTATCCCACAATATATCTCTTCCCCAGTGTATCATCCCACCATCCAGGACATGTCCTATATCATATCTTATGTGAAGGCCTCTATGAGCAATTGGTCTTATCCAAAATATGGGTAAGGGGCCTTGCTCCTCGGGGTACTATCTATCAATTAGTTTTAAGGACCAAGGTATTATCCCAAATTAGCTTTAGTCCCCACTATATGGACATAGACAATGGACTAATACCCTAAACACCTCTAAGGACCAAGGTATTGAGGGCTCTTAGCCCCATCTTTTTGGTGAAGATGATCAAGCTAAGAGCCCCCCCAAAATGGTCGCCTGAAGTGGTGGCTGATGATGTTATAGGGTGCAGCTTGTGTGATCAGCTCCACTGCATGAGAGACATGTAGTTAAGAATAAAGAAAAGCAGTGCAGCACAAGAAAGTGGAGTTTGTACAAAATAGCATGGCACAATGTGTGACAACTACGAAAGAAAGTTAAAGTGGAGAATGAAATTTTAAGGTCCAAAAATTGTGTATCGTAACAGGAAAGCGCTATATGATAATGTTCACTGATGGCTTCTTACACAAGTCCTATATCTGACTGTTAAAATCAAAAGATCAAGCCTTGTCAGTGGACACAAAATTTGAAGCATGGATTTTAAATCAGAAAAATGGGGCTAAGATAAAAAAATTAGGGTTAGATTAGGGAGGAGAATACATAAGTATGGAATTTAGCACGCACCTAAAAGAAACAAGGTACAATATGCAAGATAACTGTCTATAACTCCCCACAGCAGAATGGGACAGCTGAACGGCTAAACCACACAATCATAGAGCATACTCGGGCAATGCTGATCCAGTACAAAGCTACAGGTGACTAAAATTCATTTATCTCCTTTTATTTAGCTTATATATTACTCATATTTTCTACTCCTATATTCCAAGTTTCACCAGAAGTATATATGAAGATTTTGATGTTAAAATGAATACTCCTGGCATTCAAGGCACCTCTGAAATTGATAGGGAATTGTTATATTTTTATTAGTACTATTCTGAGGTCAGGACAGAATTTCACCAGGAGCTACTTGATTCATATTCACCTCCACCAATTCTTGCAATGTCCCACTAACCTCCACATAAATTTAATGCCTCAGAAAATTTCACACTAAAGCACTATGCTGCTTGAACAAAGTCTCAAGGAATAGTTTAGAGATATAGGCGGCATACTCAGGTTTTGCAGGAGGCAACTGGAGTAAAACTTCCCTGACAAACTTGAAACCACTTCAAGTTGATATGTGCCCAAAGAGTTGCATTGCCTATATAGGCCAGTATACAGACTTAAACTCCTGCCCATATGTAAGGGATAAATATTAACTTTGTATTTTCCTATGAAAATAATGACTAGGTAGTTTGTCAGTGATAAATGATAAAATGTCTACTGTAAGTACTCACCTCAGTCTGATAGTAAAAGACTGAGGTGTCAGGTTCCATAAACAAGTAGAAAAGTAGAAAAGGA